GATTGACGTTCACAGCTGTTTTTGCATACAAAGGAGGGGACTCTATAGACACTTATATAGAACTCAGGGAAAAAGCTATATAAGGAACTGCAAAGCCAAAAGGAATATGTTGTTTGAGATCTTCATGTACTTGTTTGGAGAATAATTAGTGATCATTCTTCAGCTTTAGGTAGTCCAGAGATCTGGGTGATCGGCCAGGTGAAAGACATCTTTTTGCTCTACCATCGCCTGATCAGATCGGACGAAAGCAAGCCCGTCCTTCCACTGGTGGATGATGAGAACCCGAAGTCCCCGGATGTCTTCAAAATTCCCGTGAAAGAGTTCTTGGCCTTCACCAGGAGACCACGAAAAGACCACAGAATTGCTTTACTTCGGGTGGGATCCCACGGATGGGGGATGCAGTGTGGAGACGTCAAGGTTTGTTATCGGTTGTCATGTTTGTCGTGTTGGACTCGTCAATACACTAGCAAATTCACGACATGGTGGGTTGTCTATTGTAAAGTCTAGCTACCCCAATCCTGTCAGGTGTTTTAAGACCTGCTGCATGGCATCGTCCACTAACTGAAAGCAGTGAGTTGAAATCACTCGGCTGAAAATATACATTACATCAAATTTAGCTGGACCTAGCTGTTTGGGGCAGAGATAAGCTTGAAGTGGTTGCTTCGCGCTCGAAGCGGGAAAGCAATATCATGTCTCAGGAGACAGGACTGAGTAGGTGACCAAGTCGCTTTGTAGGTGGTTTTAAACTTGGCATTGAGAGATTCATTGTTCGTGTTAGAAGGTGGTCACCTCTCAAAGTAATTAACTTATGTTTCAGTTGCCAGTGGAGCAACTGCAACGTGGGGATTCTTCTATCCAAACATGGGGTCGTCGTCTGGCAGCACTGGGGGAACGAAGCAATCGGACCGCTGGGATGAGACAGACGCACTCCGTTGTCTTTGTTGAAATCACAGTGATCGGCACGTGCAGGAAATGTAAAGGTACTGCATCATATGTTGACCTCCTGACTATGATGCACGACAACACAAGGCCGGGCTTTGATGATCTCCTGTTTTTTGCATATCAGTTGAATCGTTGAGTCACCAGTGACACCAAACAAGTTCCTCATACATATGTTTCTGAGTGTACAGTGTACATATCTTGAGGGAGCCAAACAGGAATGGCCGAACTAAGAACAATGCCTACTGGAAAAAAAACACGAGTTGACCTGACAGTTTCAGTGTCGTGCCACACGTGTGGAGAATGTATTTGTGTTCCCTGTTGCTTGAATGCTATGCACCCCAAACAGCCACAGAGTTTTGAAAGGTTAAACATAGCTGCTTTCAACACACTGTTCATCACAACATCACTTTGCTGCTTCTCGATACATTACAACGGCTGAAACATTTCGTTCAGAGACAACATTTCGATATGGATCTTTGTTCTCACCCTACATGCCCAAACTTTGCTTTCTCCCTCTCTCTCTTCCCCTCTCTCTCTCTCTCTCGCTCTCAATACATGGCCAGTTTGGTTACTCCATGACATAGCATGTGTATGAAGGAAGAACGGGAGAACACGTCGTAGGGAGAGATGCGCCCAGTACCGAGAGCGAAGTGGAAACAGCTCTGATACACAGAAAGGGCCCCTCCTGATGGCTTGGACCACAGCTCTGAGCTCTTCCGCACTGGGCTGGATTTGTGTCCTACCAAAAAAATGAATATATATATATATATAACAACACCACGGATCTGCATTGTGATAACGACATGGGACAGAATTCGGAGACAAGCAGTGGTGAATGAGGATCGGTCTGGCTGTGGAATTCGTTGACATCAGTGATGTATCCCAAGATCAGAATCATTGCATATATGTGCATAGGCAAACGTGTGTGAAGTCGTCACAACTCCTTAGACTTGATTTCTCTCCATACATGCGATGGATAGACATAGACAAGCTTGACATGCCCCAGTGTCAACCCCAACTCGCACTTGTTTTCGTCGCAAAAATACACAACCTTGCGACCTTGTGAGTGATGAAGCTGGAGAGGCTAGAGAAGTTCATCCACAATGAGTTCAAGCAGCTCAAAGAGCGACTTCCTGGTGAGGCGACGACTGGTGCACGGTGTCGTGACTTCTGTGAGGGTGAGAGACTGGACCAAGAGCCTAACAATTCTATGGTACCACTCCGAGGCACTCACATGAAAATTCTCACCTGCCTCCCAAGAGGCTAGTTTCTGCTTCATGGTTGTCCTGTTTTTGAGTCAGACTGTATGTAAGTTCTACTCTGCGATTTGGTCCAGGGTAGGCCCTCCACGTAGGCTTTTCTCAACTAATCAATGCCTGCACGGGCGAGTTCATGGATCGCACCACGTAGTTATATAGATTAGATCCAACGGCTTTCCATGGGTTATCCTCGCTTTTCATGCAACTGATGTCAATCACTCAGCAGCAACGGGGTCAGCACCAAAAAGTCGCGGGTCCTTTGGTGCCAGCTTTTGCACTACACCAGCTCACCACATTCGAGGCCCAAAAGTGAGCGGCTTTGTTAGCCCCCGCGGTGCGGACCGGCAGCTAACGCGCCCTCGCGGGCGCAGCGGGCGTCTTGGTGGGTCTGTTTCTTTGCTTGGGAGTGGGAGCTTCCTTCACGTCTCTCACGTGTTGAAGGTGAGCAAATTTCACACTCACCTCTGGCTGGTGGGACACCATTACCTTTGTCGCAGGCCTGGAAGAGGCCTTCAGGGACCAACAAAGACTGTTTGGAGGTCCTCATTTTGCAATGGAGGCTGCAAACCGCCAGCGTGGCACGCGCCTTTCTTCGCGCCGTCTTGATCTTGCAACCTCCAAGGTCACCAGACCGTCGACCCGCCTTGAGTGCTTCGAAACCGACCCCACTTTGCCCGGTCCCCGCCCCACCCCTTGGTGGAGCCGGGGACCCGACATCGTTGGGAAAAACATGCCAGATTTGGAGGGAAGAACGAAGCAAAGCAAAGCACGAAAGGCAGGCTGAACACACTTCGTTTCGAAAACAGTTGCACGCATGAAACCAGTTGAAGCAGATGCAAACAAAGTGCTTTTCATAGCACTCCTGGCTGGTCCGAAATCGGCCGAACTGTGGCCCTTGCTGCTTGTGGTCTAAGACCACTGGCAGCTTTGTTGTGCGATGAACATCTCAGCTCGGGGAGGTGGTCGCAGGGGTGCCTGGATTTTACACAGTGAAGGTTTGGGAGGATGGCCTTTCTCTTCAAAATTTGCTCACCAATCCTTAGGATCTTTCAAACTTCAGATGTAGTTGGAATTGTTGGCAATGAGCTAAAGATGTCCAAAAAATGCAAGGGCATCGAACGAAGCAGCAAGCTTATTCAAAGAGCTTTCTTTGGATTCTGATTTTGATGGGGATTGCTTGAGCAGTGTTTGCACGTGAGGTGACTCAGGAGGCCCAATCGTTTACATCTTGAGACAGCAGTCGAAGGTGACGACGTCACTTGTGCGCCAAGTCACCACCCCAGAAGAAAAGAATTATCCTTTCTGGGTCCATCCCCTGTTTGAAAGAAATTAAAGAACCCGATAACCCCACATGACTAGATTTCACCAAGCGAAAATCAAGAAAATCCGCCCGCACCGAAGGTGCCGAGGTGTTGTGGAGGTGTCGTGTAAACCGTAAGAATCTTCTGGAGGATTGATCCTAAGCATTAGCTAGGTGGGCCCCATCTCATGCTCGGGAAATGCTGTGTTTTGCAAGGTTTTTTGAAGATTGATCAAAATGGATATGGTTTTGGACTAAACGTTCGGGATGCCGGTTATGCCGGCCGCGGGGATTGCGTCATCGACGATCGCGGGGACACTGCATTATTGAGATCATGGGTGTGTTCGTCGAGACAGACAGACCGAGACAAACAATTCACATCGTGTGACAGACCGACCGAGACAGACAATTGACATCGTGTGTGTGTTCGTCCGTGTGTCCTGCCCGACTGAGATAGACAGATTGACAGACCGGGACAGACAGACCAAGACTGTGTGTGCGTCTGTTTTTTCTTTACTCTGTGCGGGCGGCATCGACCGCGAAGCGGTGTGAATAATGTTTGCGGATAGAGCGTGGCACAGCGACGTCACAGATGTAATTTCGCCATACTGCGTGCCAATGGAGCAGCAAAGCGCAGTATAGCTCGGTGGAGGAGCTGCGGCGAACTGGCAACATTCATGGACCTCCAATAGCAGCAGACCCCCTACAGAGAAGCGTAACATAAGGGAGGAGCGGCGGCCGGCCCCTCCAGACTGTCTGCGCAGAGCAGCAAACGCAGGGGCGGCAGCGACCGAGCCAGAACAGCATAACGCAAGGGAGGAGCGGCGGCGACCGAACCCGACCCTCCAACAGACCCTCTACAGAGCAGCAAAACGCAACTGAGCCGGTCGCCCCCAACAGCGGACCCTCTACACAGCAGCAACACGCAAGGGTGCTACACACGACCAAGCAGAAATACGCACAATCCATTATTACACAAAATAGTGGCAATATGTGACAATCTCTTGTCCAGTAGCTTCCAAGACCCCTGGTACCACCTGCCTGGACACGGGCTCCTTGTATCCTCAAACGACGCTCGAACAGAGCACGATCATTTTTGGCAGGGCCTAGAGGACTATACAAACAGACAGTAGTGACAGTACTCTTTTTTGTTTAACCAGTGCGGAACCTGCTCTGGGTCGTTTGAAGCAGATTCGGCGCATGATTGGGCAAAAGTGAGCGCGCCTTGACGCTGGCTGATGTGAAACGCTCTGTCAACTTCGCCCTAAAGTTGCAAGAGGAACTTTCAGGAGATGGCTAGCAAGCAGTTTCATGTGGATCTAGTGCTCACTTTGTGTCTCCCGTTCCCTCAAGAAGGTGACAAAGCTGAGACCCGAACGAAAAGTATTGCGGAGATGGAAGATGTGGAATGAACCCATCGCCTTTGCTTGTCTCGTGACGCCCAAACAGTCTGTTGAACATCCATTTGGGAATCTCCGGAGGAATCCGTTTGCATGACTCGTAGCTTCACCTCACAAGACAGACGGGTGTCCGGGAGCAGCCACGCCATGGCGACAGAGGACACCGAGGGATCCTTGCAACCAGGCAGGAACGATCCTTTTGAATGGTTGTGGGATGTTGTAGGTCCAAAACAGAGACCCAACCCGTCGAATATCCATAAAACAACTGGGAAATTTTAAAGAGGCGTTGTTCGTTTCAATATTTGTAGAGTCACCACCAAAGCAGGTTTTTGTGTAAAGTGTAAAGTTCAGTTCGAAGAGAACAACCATCTAGCATCACTTAGCGCAAAAATTGAAATGGTCGAAACCGGTCTGGTCAAGTACCACGTACTGACATGTACTGATGTGTACTGGCTCTCGAGTTCACCAGACTCCCCCCAAAAGGCTCGTTTCGATCTTCGATTCGACGCAGGTCTTGAAGCTGCGCCAGCGCCCTCATGGTCCGACCCAGGTGGGGAGCACACTGCACGTGGTGCACAGACCGATCCTCCGAACCGATCCGATCCTCCGCACCTCCGGTCGCCGGTCGCCAGACCTGCTCGGTCGCCAGTGATTCGCAGGTCTGGACTCGGCGCCAGAGCAAAACGACCGGGCCACGGACCTCGAAGCCGAGAAACCGGAGCGGGCGATGCCGTTCCAAGCGCTGCACGATCAGGTGGAAACACTCCACACTCAGGCGAGCGGGAAAGCGAGAGCACTTGCGCTGGTGCTGTTCATGTGCTGGCGCAAGAGGGATCGGGAGGTGTGCACAGGGTATTTTGCCACAACCAAGGACAGATGTTAATTCAGAAGAGTCTTGAGTCATGACCGGACCTGAACAAATGAAATCATATGAAATGGTTTTGGGTTGTATTCTGTGTCTGTTGACGTCTGTCATGCCAGGGATTTCATTCTTCCCTTCGGACAAGGATGCTGTTCACCCGTTTGCGGCCGATGCAGTTGAAGAAGCTCCTGGAGGATTTGCAACATGCGCACCACCGAGAGCCAGCGCAGGCACTGGTTGGGGGGGGAGGGCGATGCCCTTGGCCGTCTGGGGATCTCCAGCTCTAGGAGGCTGGGAGTTCCTGGTTGGTAGGGAGGGAATCTCCAAAACTGATCGCAGCTAAAGATCCTTGCCTGCATCAGCCTCCATCCAACCTCACCCATATGGTGGACACATTCTGAGTGAGAGAGAGAGAGAGATAGATAGATAAGTGTTTTCAAGGCAAGAGAAAGACAAACAATTCAATACTAGCTGTGATGGTCATATGAAGATAAACAGATCACAGAGGAAAACAGAGTCTAGAGACTACATGTGACTACAGACGAGAAGGAGAAACCGACTTCTACTGCTTGGTTGCTCAATTTCTGACACTTCGACCACGGGTGAAACGCGTGACGACCATTCTCTTTCAATCTCTTTCGTGGTGATTTGTGGGTGTTGATCTTTCCAGTATGCGAACGGAAGCAGCCAAGAAGCTACTAGTAACAAGTGCCACGCTACTAGTAACAGGTGCCTTACTACTAGTAACAAGAAGCTATTAGGAACAAGTGCCTTACTACTAGTAACAATAAGAATTTAATAGCTTCCCAGCATCGGCCCAAAAGGGCCCTACTTCGAGGGACCTGGACCTGCGGACATACGGACCGGACCTCGCCGAGGCCGCCTCGGTTGGTCCTTCCAAAAGCCGAAAAGTCAGAAGGAAAAAGAAGGCTGAGAATGAACCCCTGGAGGCCTGGAGAAAGGGTTTTTGCGCATGAAGGTGGAAGTGAAAGGGCTATGGGCGCCCTGGGCTGCCTGACAAGTCTGAAGATGGGACTCTGTTCATATCTTATCATCCGTATCTTTTTTTTGAGTTAAGGTTTTAACTATTCGATTTATGGAAGTTAGACGCTTCCAGACAGGAACACCACCAGCAAACTCTGAGACTTAAGTATCAATATGCAACAATGCAACAGTGATGGCGCGTGCTACTTTTTCTTACGCCTTTCGTTTTCTTTCCCTGCAACTCTAGCAGGATGGGTGTGCCTTGAAACAAGAAGACCCCCAATTGACCTCCGTGAAGAAGAATCAACTCACCAGGCCTCGTTGCAGCATCTCTCTATCAACAAAGGCCCACTCACATCATGACCGCTGTGCCGGTAGAGGTCACTCAGTCTCATCCTAGCTCTCTGGCCTGTTTTTGAACAATTCAGGCTAGCTTTGGATGGTGCTACTCTTCCGGGGTGGTATGTAGATTGCCCAAACCCTCCCATCGGTCGATTTGGGTCGACCCTGCACGCTCTTCGGCGAGGGCATTTCTTCGTTTTTCGGCTTTGGTGGGACTGTTTGACCAAGAACTGTTTCACAGATTTTGTCCGGTTCGGTCTTTACATGTGTCTTTACCATGCTTGAGGGTAGTCTTGGTTGGTGATCTAGCAATGGACTTTAGCTCTGAAGATCCCCCGGACAAGCAGGGTACGAAGATCGTCACAGAACGCAGGACCATACTGATGGTATGTCGACAGCGTAACACATGGCAAAGAAACTATCAAACACCTTGCATTCGCAGTGCATCCCTTTACAGTGATTTGACAAGCTTTCATCCGTGAGTGCCATGGTGGCATCCGTTTCTTTGTTGACGTCGTTTGTTTTTTATCCGTCATTTTTTCTTGCCGACGATGAGTCGCTGTTGAGTCCCAGTCTGGTGTCCAGACTGACACCTTTGGGATGTGAAGGACAAGTTTCCCATGTGATCCACAGTCAGGGTATAAACCCACTGTCAATTCTGCGCCAGATGGTCCAGGTGAAGGTGGAGTCGGAAAAGGAGGACGATCCGCAGGTGCTGATCTCAGCGAAGTTTTGGAATGAATAGACATGAAGGAATCCAATGTATCAAGGGTCGGCTTAGACGAGTCAACACACGAAACTACACGAGTCTGGACGAGTCTGGACGTTTAGATTGAAATCAGGGGAGCAATGCTTCAAACTGCACGGCCTTCAAACTGCTTTGCTTGCTTTGATGACTGAACTTCGCGAGGGCGGCCCTCGAAGGCGGCATTCGCACATAGGCGCGGCGGGCGGCTGCTGGAACTTAAACCTGAATGCAGGTGCCAAACCTATCCAAATCCAGATCTTTTGTTACACATTTTCTCATTTTTGGAAGGTGAGAACACGGATGGCCCAGCTCCCCAGACATCCTTCCACACATCCACTGGATCCTGGCACCCTCACCCTCTGTGGTGCACGTCGATCGAACACGATCCTCATCGCCGTGGGGCCGTGGGGAGCACGTCTCTCGACGTGGGGCAAACTGGTTCGGCTGTGCACGTCGAACGGTGAGGGTATCAAAAGGTGTTTCGCCCTTCGAATCCCTTCGAACGTGGTATCACCTTGGAATCTGGTGACGTGAGGGTATCACCGACATATAAAAACACCTTGTGACTTGTGTAAGGTTCTTGAACTTATTCTTATCTTGAGGAGAGTACACCTTGTGGATGCCCATTGTTGATCAGGTAGGATACGGTAGGATCCCACCAGAAAACGGGTTCGTTACTTCGTTACCGGGCATCGCAGTTGATCGGGTTTCTGGAAGGATCGGATGAGCGGATCTGAGATTGTTTTACCCTCCACAAACTCTATGCAATAGTATAGCCGTGCCGCCCCTCGCATGGGCGAAGCGTCCCATGTTTGGAGGCCCCATTTTTGGTTAATTAATGTTAATTAGAACGGCTATCAATCGTTTTGGATTGCATTGGTTTGTTTTCAGCTGGTGTTCGAGAACGGTGGTCCGTTCCGTTCAGGATGTCCCCAGCGGCAACAATTTGGTTTGTCCGTCGAGAAGCTGCATGCTTTGGGAACAGGAGCTATCGACGAGTTTCTTGGCAACTAGTGGTGAGCTTTGCTTGGGATGGGGGGCTACAGCGGCTAGAGAGCTACTCTCCCTGAACAGAGCAAAGACTCATGATCGAGGATTTCAACTGGCTGCGGAGTAATTACAGTCTCCTGCTCGGGATGTGTGGTTTCCGATATTGAAGAACTGTTCGGTTTTTTGGCGGCTTTTTGGCCGTGCTTTGGTTCCTGAGGACAACTGCAGAAAAAGTAGGAAAGTGTCGAGATTCTACAAAGAGGGCGGACAGCATAGAAGCGATGTTTGTCTGAAAGCGAACCGTGTAGGAGCAAAGGAGTGATTGGTTCAGAGCAGGAAAGGTGATACTCATCAAGGAAAGTAGAGGGGGGTCTCCCTCCTCTTTTCGTTTAGGCCCGCCCGACAACGCGCGTGTGACGCGTGTTACGCGACAAGGACCAACGAAGACAACAAGATTAGGCAGGACACGAAGAAGTTCCAACCAATGAAGCATATGACAAAGCACCTCACCAGGCAGGTGTCCAAGGTCTCCAACGCGATCTTCCCACCACCGGAGGACCGGAAGGGGAGCCAACTTGAGCCGTTCCGCCGCATCAAGCTGCTAGAATGCCGGTTCCATTGCTTGAAGAAACGTCGCTGGAAGGTGTTTTCATGTGCTTTCATGTGTTTCCTGAAGGTTCTAATGAATTGTAGCTTCTACTCCGTGCTACTTGCCTGGTCCTTTTTAGTCGAGTGCAATGTAATGTTGCAGCACAGGCTCTGGTTACATCATGCGGTGTAAAAGGTCTATGTAGGACCAGTCGCCTTTGGAGGCCCACCACGTACCGTACCTGGCAATCTCATGGTTCATCCCAAGAGCAACCCGTTCCAGGAGGTGGACAAGGTGCATGATCCAGAGAACTGGACAGAGCAACTGCAGAAGATCATGAAGGGCAGGGACCCAGCTTTGCACTACGTCCGAGCTGGCGGACGGTCGATCCTCTTTAAGGCGGACGTCAAGCCCGCACAGCTCTCCGCAGAGCCTGCGAGCGACGACTTTCCCCTGGTGGTCATCTCCAAGATCGCCGAGGCCGGCGGCCGGGGTGGCCAGCCATGGTTCGTGTGAAGGTCTTCGGTTGAAAGAAGACACGGCAACTTGTGAAGTGGCAGACACAATGCATTCTGAATTCTTGATGTGGCCTGCGAAGAAATTTGCCTGGCACACTTGAAGGCTCCAGTAAACTTGATGGCAATGACATTCAATGACAAAAAGATGGAATCTACAATCCCTGTTCCTTTCGGGCCTCAGTCAGAGCAGTCCTTGTTCACGAACACAAAGGACAGGGCTTGCTAAAAGCGCCCTGCCAGGCACAAGCTGCGCGGTGGGTTTCGTAGGTTTCGAAGTTCCGTTTCGGGGCGACGTGGTGAGTTGCACCCTCCAATTGCTCAGGAGAAGAAGAAGCAGAAGGAGAGGCTGGAGGAGAAGAAGAAGCGGCAGCTGAAGGATACGAGTTCACATCGTGCGAAAAACCTCGCGCAGATCACTTGGCGACATCAGCTCGCTGACTTCGTGGACTGGGGTCCCTTCCAGGCGGCACGGCGGATTTGAGCGGCAGTGGCGTTCGGAGCGGCAGAGGTCCCACAGTGAGTGGTTTCAGAGTCGATGGAGAAAGGCACCCACCCCATGCACCCCTTTTCCTTAAAGTGAGAGGTGCTTTTGGGCTTGTGCGGTGTGATACATATAAAACTTATATGACAGTAATCTGAAACCGCTGCTATTAAGAAACAGACATACAAGCATGTTGTGTGGGGAATGCAGTTGTTTACTGGAGCTACATGGAGCAGCTATTAGGTTTCCAATGGCTACTGGGTCCGCTCCCAAGAGCACTCATGTGGTGCTCGGCCTGAATGAAGCCGCTTCTATTGTTTGGTGGGGAAGCAACAGAGTGATATTTTCTAGCCCTAGCCTTCCCCTTTGCTCCCTTTACTGCTACTTCATAGATTCCATGTCAGAGTTGGATAGTCTGCGGTATCCTGTTCTGGAAAAAGATGTGCTGATGCGCCAGGTCGCCTGCATGTTGGTGATCGTGGCCAATGCGTTACATATCTTCATCCAAGCGGACGCGAAGATGGTGTGCCTTGACCCCGTGAAAAGGACACCAACCTTTTATTTCTCTCTCTCTCTCTCTCTCTTCCTGTCGCTATTTATTTACAGATCCCTTTATGGAAAGTCAATGCATCATTCGCTGGTTGGGATACCAATCCTGAGACAGACATCCGTTGCCCACGTAGCAGGTTGAACGATTCGCATGATCTTGTGCCCAAGGAATGCTTACAAAACTGCGCTGGAGGGTGGCACACCGATGGAGAATGTGCATTACTTGGACGTGTTCTTTGCGACCTGGCCACTTGTGCAGAATCCATGCCCGCCGCATGTACTCTCTTCTGCGGCATAAAGGCACTTACCAGACTTGTCACTCTAAACAAATCAAACTACTGTATTATTTGCACAGCATCCCACAGCTGCTCAGCGATCCAAATCTAGATGTAATTCATCTATGACAGACCCAATCCTTGGACTCCAAGACTTCAAGGCGCTCGACATCCATCCCGTTGACGTCCCCGTCGACGTCCTTCTCGACCGTCGACCGTCGACCGTCTCGGGCGTCTGAGGTTCGTCATGGAGCTGACGATGCGGATCCTGCCAGATGGTTTTTTCTACTTCTTCTGGGAATCCGAGGTGGGACAGAGAAGGAGAAGGGTTGGACAACCTTGGGGACGGTTGGATGGTGGGATGCAGAGTGATGTTATGGTGTTTTGCCCTACCTGTCAGGTGGGGGTCTCTCGATTTTATGTCTGTGCTTCGCCTGTCGCGTTGGCCTGTCGCCCTCCTGCCTTCCCGCCTTCCTTTCCGCTGGACCTTTACCGGTCTGGACTGCAGAGTGGTGGACACAAGATGACAGGACAATTGCCAAACACATATCCGAGCCGAAGTCGGACCATATGTTACAACACGCTTCAGAACACATGCCTGATTGGATGCGAGGGCACATGTCAGAATGTATGTCAGAAGGTTATGCCAGAACACTTGTCAGACTTGACCATTTCAGAACACAAGCCCGAATGGATCCAGAACACACGTCACATGGTGTCAGTGAACGGGTGAGCCAGTCAGGGCACCCTGCCTTCTTCCAATTCGCGCCTTGCGGATCACTCGAGGTAAGTCATGTTCATTTCCATCTCCAGGTGAAGGTGCTTTGAATACCATCTACGATGACAGGAGAAGACTTTCTATTCTTCGGACATACCGGGAGAACACATGGCCCTTCTGTAAAGCCAACAGGTCTTAGAACACAAGGACACCGTGCGACGGGGGATGGTTTTGGCGTTTCAGGAGTTGTTCCTCTTCATTGACGCCTCTGTGAAAAGGGACTTCTGAAGGTAACAGGTTTTGACCAGCCAAGAAGAGAGAGCTCCAAAACACCCTGCAACTAGGAGGGGGACAGATGAAAAAACAGCGGCGTCGAACATTTCGATTGCACGCATATCTGGGACGTCAATCACCCGCCATCTGGGCGTTGCGCTTTTTGGTTCGTGAAGCCTTTCTGACTGGTCTCGTTCTTAGCCGACAAAATCTGGTCCCGTTACAGCTCAGGTTTTCAACTCAGGTATGCAGCGGTATGCATGTATACACTCCCAAATATTGTACACCGAATTCACTCATCGGGGGAGGCTTGGAACTTGCGAGTGTTTGTGGGTGTCTATTTTGATTTGAAGATATGCAATGCAGCAATGTTTGGTGAAGTCACTTTTGTTTGCTGGTTTTAATGTCAAGGATTCAATCAGGAGATCTTTTCCCAGAGTCTTAGTTGTTCCACCAAGACCCCACGCACACACTTTCTCCTGGCCTCAAAGGCAAAACCTCTATGGTTATGCCGGGTGACTTGCCCTAGGCAATAAATAGTCCACATTTTCGATACCGAGGACCGCCAGTGGAACATTTTTGATACGGTTGTGACCATGGAGGCTGTTCTTGGCCTCTTTGTGAGGCTCATGGTCTCCTCAGCTTCGCAACTCAGTTGAAGAGTTTTCATGCCTCTTTCTGCGAATGATATCGTAAGACAGGTAGACTGGTGGGTTCGGTTTAGGAGGGTGCTTAGGTACTCCATTGAAATCGAAAACGATGCTGCATGGGTCCTTTCAGTGTTGATGCGCCCGTTCTTCTGGGTGCCTTTGACTGGGCCCAGCGTTGAGGACCAACACTGCTGGTTTTCAAGAAACCTGCAAGTAGGGCTGGATGCGAGCAAGCCCTTCTGACTTTCCCGGGGTTGGGTCGTGTGTAAGAAATCATGGATTCATCTGCTCTGGGAAAACAAGATGTCTTCAAACATCTCCCTTCACTTAGCTTGCAGTAGAGATAACGCCTTGCAAGTCTTCCTCCAGGATTCATGCTCTTCCCTTCCAACACAAAAGCGAGATCCTTGACACATTCAGCATGTTTATATAATCAAATACATACACATCCTTTGCGCCTCTAAGCAACGCCAATCGGCAGACACTTGAGGGTACAATGGAGTCACTGGTCTTCAGCCCCAAACATGATATGACTACCAAAGGGTGATGACTTTGGCTCAAGACAAAAGCCTTGGTAGAGTGGCTGTTTCCCTCAGCCCAGACTTTTCTCTCTTTGGTATGCTTGCTTTCTCAATCTGGTTTCAGATGTCACATCTTTGCCAAGCAAAGACATTTCAACCATCTCCGACACCGTAGCAACAATGTTGAATGTTGAATATAATCTTCATTCAGTGCTCGAAGAGAGCTCGGCCTCAAAAGAAGCCAAGTTTGCTGCACAGCGGCTGAGACAGCGTAGATGCGACACACATATATAAATAAATACCAGGAAATACAAACTCAAACAATGACAGCAACATATATACTTAGACTTAGACCATTTTTAACACATGTTTCGATTTCTTTGCTTTTATTCTTTTCAAGCAGGGCACTTATCCAATAAACAGTTCTGTTTGGGCAACCCTCGCAAGCTTCATTTGGCCTAAGAAATCACTTTTTGTCATGTTCAGTTGGAAGACAGAAAGCCCTTTCATTCTTGTTGCTGGTGTTGCTGCTCCGGACGCTGAGGGGTCTTCGTATCCTGGGCGCCTTGGCTGATCCATGAGTGGGGTATATGTATGGCTCGTGCAAGCAAACATAGACTACAGCGCCACCTCATTCCAAGAACATAGTTCTTGGCAAGAGTTCGTTACAGAGCACCTGTGGTTTGCTGCACCCACTGAGGCGTCTTCCGAATCTTTCGCCTCGTGAAACATATGGATTGGCACAAGGACGGGAATTGGGGCACTGATAGTAGCTGTTTCTGTTTCTCTTCGCAAGGGTTGCTGCAACTTCTTCGTTGCCAGGGGAGAAACAGAACATTTTCCAGAAGGTTCCTCCACATTTTCCGGTTTCGAGACTAGGAGCCTGTTTTGTCGAAAACATGGTCCGAACCGTGGCTGCGTCAAACCGCAAGCCCGAAAACGTTTGGTACTTCTGATTTGGCCACGAACCTGAGATGACCATGGTCCAGGCAGAAGCCTTTCACAGGCGGAGGGAGGAACCTCCTGGGGGATGAACACCCCTCTCTGGCGTTTGTCCACGGCGTCTATTCGGACTCGAATAGCTATATATATATATATTACAGTATATATTTCATCAATCCAATGGGTAGCATGCAGGAATAGAAGAGGCAATTTTCTCCACAGGTGTTCAAAAGTTCGTTGATGATCACCAGACTGACTGACCGCTGCAGGGGTTGAGGAAGCTGCGAAAGACGTCCGAGACCTAGAGAGCCAAACATGCACCAACATCTGATGTTTCAAGGAGGAGTGAGACTTCATCGAATTCACTCGATTCAGTTCGGAATTCGACTTCGAAACCGACCTCTGGACCTGTGGACCTGTGGCAGCAACGTGTTTTTTTTTGTGTTTCGCAACATCGTTTCGCTGTTGACAGATTCGGTGCGGGACCATGGACGGTTTGACAACGAAACACCAAGCAGATGGAAGAACCTCGAGACCGGAGATGGTCAGACGCAACTCGAGTGAAACACCAAGCAGATGGTCATATGGCCAAACATGGACCTTTCTCCCTTTGTCTCAAGCTTTGTCCAAGGGAGCCTCCAAAAGGTAGTGAACATCGACTGTTGGCCTTCCCCTCAAGAACCATCGAAGCAAATCAAGAGGGCTGACACTGGCAGTCAAGTCCGACCACCTCTTCTAGCATCGAAGACTCGAAAGAGGAGAAAAACAACTTGCTGCTGGCATCATTCATGCTGCTCATGAGACAAGAACATCCAGCAAAACCTGGCCTGTGGCTTTATGATTCAACAACAGAACCTGATGAGCGTGATGAGTTCACTGCACAGCTGGGGGGGGACCTCTTTGGGGCGGCAAGGTTAATGGCCTTGGTCGGCTCCTTGATGGACCTCATTTGGGCCTTCTTAGTCGTTCCTTGGCGGTGTGGAAGACTGTGGAAGACGCCAGACCAACTGCTGCCCCGCGCAAGCCGCGGTGTGGCTTGTGAGGTCGTCCTATGTCTGGTCACTTACAGCGTTTTCCTCTCCACTGCGACGGCGGGATGGGAGGGTTTGGGTAAGGATCACATGATGCCACAGGAGGTGAGTCAAGGATCACCACCCACTCCCATCTCCCTTTTTTTGATCCAATACAACTGAATAGATCATAGATCTGAATATCAGTCTTAGTCCTGAAGGATTTCATTTTATACGACCTTTAGATCCAATTTCTGGAAGCATCTCCCCGTTGGGAGCAACGGTTCGCAAAACAATCGCATGTTTTCTTGTTTGAGAGACCACCAGCGGCCGCTTGAACCACCAGCGGCCGCTCAATCGCTGCCCTCGATCCACCCAGATATGCACCTTGCTCACTGAGCTTTTAGCCACCCTAATCGGAGACTTCCCTGCCTTTTCCAAGCAGGATTGCACATCGACTTCCAACAAACAATTGCCAACCCCACGCCCCACTCGGCACGGCTGAGCATCGTTTGTGTGGGCTCCTCGCCTCGTGGAGAGGTGGGCTACTTTGAATCCTTCGGGCATACTCGCCTCGTGCTGCTCACCAGCCGCCCGGACGAACGGAGCGAGCTCAGTCGAGCTCGGACGAATGGAGCGGTCACCCGCCGGTCATGGCACCAGACCGATGCGGTTGGACCGACTGGTTGGGAGTTTTGACCCACACTGGTTGGGAGTGTGTGTGATAGTTTCACTTGGGGTCATGGGGCAGTGATTTTAAAGACTTGCAACATCTTGCAACTATCTGAGTGGAGCACTGAGCCTCTGAGAGCACAGGTTCTCCTCTTTCGCTTTCGAAACGCCTGGCCGCCTGGCCCCTTTGGACAGACTTCTCCCACCATCGACTTCCAGCTCTGTTGGAACCTCCCCACAGACTTCGCAAAGGCGAGTGCCAAGTGGCCGGAACGGTTCCAAAGAGAAGTTAGAAGATGTGAAGCCCAGCGGCCCTTTGAGCCTTTGATGCTCGATGTTACTGCACTTTGTATGTCTACTTCTGAGCTTGTCGGTTTCATCCGGAAGCACCTCTAAACCTGCAGGCCGTTAGAAGTGGCCGCCAATTGAGTTTTGATTTGAGGGGTCACCGAGGGAGGGGTGACTTCACTGAGGTGACGAACAGCTCGAGGTCAAGAGAGTCTCATGGCTGCGTTTTTGGAGACACTTCTGTGTGGAGTCTGTGTTGGCTGCGTTTGTCACATGGCGACGCCAACGAATGAGGTCGCTTTTTTTCTCGGCAGATTCTCCTCCCAGAGTGCTACACAGTTCCCAGCTGCAGGTTCTCGATGAATTTGGAACTGTCCCAACGACGATGTTATCGCTGTGGTCCGCAATCAGTGGTGGCAATGACCCTTCAGATGCAAACTTATGCGTGTATTTTGCAGTAGTGTCAGTCAGTCTTTCTTAAGGCAGGCAAAGGAGTGGCAATTCTTCATCATGCTCAAAGTTGGTAGGAGGCAGATGAAATCCAGCATCTGCAAAATCCGGCATCTGCAAAAGAGAGAAGCTGCTTGCATCACCTTTGATAGCTTGTACTGATTTGCGTAACTACATCTCATATACCTTCAAGGATTGGATGGGATATGCAGAGACTCTTCGGATAATGGTTGCTTGGCTGCATTTTATCACCTTTCTCAGCGAGAAGCTGCGAGTCAATGACACCGGCCATTGGCGATCCAAACCTCTGATTTGCATCCATTGGCGACGGGGCGCCCCCACGAAGCAAAATGCGTTCATGAGACTTGTTCATCTTGTTCCGTTTACCCTACACTACCATAGTGTCGTAGCATGATGATTCCAGCACTTGCGATATATGTGACTTGTCCACTGCTCCCAAAACCACACCCAGGACAAGCAGGACATCTTCTTCGGCACCTTCGTTGTGTTCACAGCCTTTTGCGTCATCGGCCTTTTCAATGTCGTCACAGGCAAACCTGGGAATGCTCTGAGGGTTATCACCTTGGCATTGCAGTGATGATGTCTTCTTGATAACCCCCCATAGTCAAGTAGTGATGTCCACCATGCTTGGATGTAGTGTCCACCGAAGACGTACTTGTGACCTGCTTCTACGGTTGTGCTGGGAGCAAATGTGGACCACTGCCAGACATGCATGCGACGCATGCTGCGCGATGCTGCACGTGTTTAGAATTGCATTCTAAAGAGTAGTTGGCAACTGCATGCCAATCTGCAAAACCGCAAGCTAGTCCAGTGGTTCTGTGCAACACGTATTGTTCTGACTCAGAAACTCCCAAAATAGACCAGCTGTCTTGCTACACTGGGAGTCTGCAAGTCCACGGCCACCAAGTGGGATATCGGCAGTCACTAAATAGAGGCGATTGCGATCCCTGAAAGAAATGCCCCACGGAACCGGTAATAGTAGGGCCCTAGGGTTAGGTTTGCTATGCTGCTATGGTTTGCTGAACACCAACCCTGCACGGTGAAATCCGTTTCACGAGTTTTGGCACCAGGTTGAACACCGCACCATCCTGTGTTGAATACCACGGCCAACATCCCCTGTTTTGCGGCTGGATACCAGGGCACCAGCGCACTGCAGGTGTCTTCGTGGATAGTGCCGTTGAGGCCTCGAAATCCTTCCGGAGCAATGTGGAGGTGATCGAGTGTCTTGGGCCTTGGACACGAGGCAGAGGTGATCGAGCATTAACACGAGTATGCGACGGAGCAAAAGGCCAAACGAATGCGGAGGTCCACTGAGTGAATTTTCTCAGCCACAGGAGTTGTTGGAACCTATTATTGCAACACCGGGGGTTTCGTGATGGATAGCTGGGTGTGAGAGACCTACGTCGTGGGACAGAGCAAAGGGCTGGGCTGTCGCTGTTTTAGAATTTATCCCAGTGGTCTTCGCCAAAGGGCAGTAGTGCTTCCTTTCGACTTCCTGGTCTTGGGAAGTGGGCGGTTTCTGAGGGAACACAAAGACCAAGAGAAGCAGGAGAAGATGGAGGAGGCAAACTTGCTGATCCTTGGCACGTCGCCCGCTGCGCCGCAAAAGAACCGCTTGATGTCCTTCGTTTTGTTCGATTCCTTTTGCGCAGTGGGTTGATGTTGTTACCCACTCTGATGAATTCTGGAGTCGATGTCCAGGCGTTGGCAGTTCAGCACATTCTGTTTTCACCCATCTTATATAATCATTGTCGCACTGTCAACCGGTCCTTTGTAGCAGAACCACTTCCTGCAAGATATAGGAAAACTACATGCAAGGGATGTTTCTTTGAGGAATCACCCATCTACTGCGTGTGTGCTGTGTAACAGTGCAACCCTGAAGTACCTCTCTTTTTGTGCACCAAGGAAGCTATTGTCGACTTCTGCGGGAAAAGATCTGACCTACAAAGAGCCGGGTTTCTCAGAGATGCTCAGAGTCTTGCGATGAGCATAGCACCTCATCGCATCACACTTCACCACGTCACACATCACCAGACATCGTCATCGCATCACATGTAGCAGAGCCACCTATTCACACTTCTTCGCAAATCACCAGCAGCACACATCACACACCTACATGTCCGACATGAGGTGACTCCAACACCTCTCTCCATGTGCACTTGCGCAGCACGCATCGCAGGGCACACGTGCACTTGCGTCGGGCACACATGGCTGCTCATCATATCACCAGCAGCACCACCACAACTGGAGAGCATGCGAGTCCTTGGACTCCATTCCGGTCCCAGGACTCCATGCCGGGTGGTGAGCACTAGAAGGACGTACTCGACGTGCAAGGTGTTTGGACAGAAACTCCTAGATTAGCATGTAAGTCTTAAATAGTCTAAGTGACCCTTTCTTAGCAAGTTTAAGTCACTTGTATAGTCACTTATATAGTTCTGTGTTCTGTTCATGTGGTTCCTGAGGCTCTTGGAACACCTTGACATCGACTCGGCAGAGGTGCCCCTTTCTTCGGCGTTCCGGCGATGGACGCGGACGGGTCGTTTGCGTCATCCAAAAACATGGAAAATGAGCAAATTGGCAAGAAAGGGGAATGGGGTTGTACTGTGAAGAACTGATGGTTGATTTCCCAGTGTGTGCCTACTTGCCATGCTTCGCAGTTTTCATGGCGGGCATTCCAAAAGAAGTCGACCGGTCGAAGTCAGAGAGGCCCGTTTTTGATTTGATTTCGATCGCCGCGCAGGGGCTCTGCCGCTACACCATAGACCATAGAGGTTCCATGCTGGTTCACCTTGCAGTGAAGGTTGATCAAACCAATCAAACCGCATAAAACCGCCGCCGGCATTGTTCGCCCGATCGAAACACCTTTAAAAGAGAGGTGATGGTTCTCCAATTTAGAGAGGTGATCAGGGGGGTGTTGTGTCTAGTACCGCAGACCGCTTGGCGTGTCCATGCGGGGCCGTCCCACTGCTCTGATTGGAATTGGGGAAGACGAAGGGGGCGTGTCAGACAAAGTCTTTGTTCCTTAGAGCTTTAGGGAATGTAAGACTACGAGCCATTTTTGTGGGCTCCGAAAAGAGCATTAACAGTTAAGTTAACTGGTCTCAGGAGCATTCTTCAAGCCACAGGGTTCGGTTGAGCAGGTTTTGGCAAAGCAGCTTCGGATCGCGACCAAGTGGAGTTGCTAATGTTCATCTCTCCAAGATTGCTAGGCCTTTTGGCAAACGAACATGGAGCTTTCTGGCGACAAGGCTGGATTTGTCATCATGTGCCCGCTCAGTCCTGCAAAGGCACGCCATCCAATCTCACCATCTTACAGGATATCACGTGTTTCTGAACCTAGATCCAGAGATGGATGTTGCTCTCAGGATAATCGGTTGGCATTCGGTGGAACATGGTGGAACAATACTTTATGTGACATTTGACTATATTCATTTGTCATGATCCTGATCCATTCACATTGACCAACACCGACCAAAAGTGGTAAGTCGAGAAGATCAGGGCCTGGCTGCCACGCTTTATTCGTGTCCCGCGCATCAAGGGACACGTCGCGGGTCATCGTCGAGGCGTTCAAGAAACTTCCGGGAGTGGCCTCATGTAGAGAGGATGGCAGCCTTCTTCAACTTTGATTGAATGAGACCCGAGCAATCTGATCTAGACAGGCTCTTGCTTGCGAGATTGCCATTTCTTCTCACCTGTTCAATTTGCTTCTCGGGTCCTTCTTGTTTCTCTCCTTTTGTTGCTGTTCGCCTCTTATGTGACTCACACAAGTAGGAACATCCATGTGATTGGCGTTCGCAGCGATTCTTGCATATCCGCTAGACACTTCAGACTCTTGGACAGTGGGACCGTCTCGCGGTTTTCAGTCACTTCATGGCCCGGGCCATGCGCACAAGGCCTGGCCGGCATTCTACCAGCAATCCTGAGAGAGTTACATCATTCTATCTCCCACCAATGGGACCAGGATGATCACGGTTTTGGGGAGAAGAATGGTGCCAAGAGTCGTGTGAAAGAGGTGAGTTCTCACGAACGCCAGGTGAAAGACATCTATTTGCTCTACCATCGCTTGAAGAAGTCCAAGGAGGACGAGAAGGTGAAACCACTGGAGATCGAGGATAAACAGGACACCTTGAGATCAGGTGGACAAGAACACCACATAGAAGGTGAAACCACTAAACCACCACCGTCTCGCGACCACTAAACCGAGCTTTCACAGGATCCAGACTACGAGCAGAAGGTCTTCAAAGTCTCTGTGAAAGAGTTCCTGGCCTTCACAAGGAGGGCTATTCCTTTGACGGTCGGTCGATCGAGGTCTTCAACGAAAGGTCGGTGTGTTGAGAAAGGTCGGATCTGCATGGTATCACCATGGTATTATTGGGTCTGTCCTATTTTACCTGTAACAGGACCTGTAAACAAGCAAAACACGGTTTTTGGAACAAGGCCTGCAACCTAACCATCATCATCTATTGTTGCTGGTATTAAGATAGACCATGATAGACCCAATGCATGGTATTGATGTGTTTCAGGGGGGTTGACTGAATAGCTGACAAAGATGCCTTTGGAAGGCTTCATTTTGGAACATGGTCACCTCTCAACATGCACAACACCTATGTGTCGGTTGCCAGCGGAGCAACTACAAGTAGTAAATTCCTGTCCAAACACGGGCCATCCGGCAGCGCCGATGGATTCGGACCCCGTAAAGAGAGACTCTGCTCGGGTTGAACCACTTATTCTGCAGGGGTATGAGAACATCAAGGCCCAGGTAGACAAGTCAATAGAAGATGTATTTGACGGCTCTTCGTTGTAACTCGATTGCGATCACAGCATCTGATGCTGTGCGGTGACTCTTCGGCACGTGCAGGAGATGTAAGGGTACTGCATCCTATGTTGACCTCCTGACGATGATGCATGATAACACAAGGCCCGGTTCGGGACGTGATCTCTGGAACAATCTCTTCGACCTTTTGACATCCAGTAGTTGTTTTCATGTGGTTTCATCAGCTGGAGGCTGGAGAAGTTCATCCGCAATGAGTTCAAGGATTTGAAAGAGCGACTTCCTGGTGAGGCGAAGGATGCGACTCGTGCATGGTGTTTGGATACAGGAAAGCATTCTTCCAAGAGGCCATGATGTTCATCCATTCTCTACTTCTGTGTCTGTCTCGTTCGCGAATCTCGGTGTTTACCTTGTTCTACCTTTTTTTCCCGTGGTGCTCCCAGGTTCTGGTCGGGGCTGTTTTACAGGTAGGCTTTCTCAGCTGGTCAGGCAGCCTGCAATCATGCCGTGGATTAGGTCCAGCTTCTTTTCCATGAAGACCTTCATTTTTTTTGTCGCAGCAGGGCTCCAGCCCTGGAGCACCCGGTTTCTTGAGGGAGCACCCAAAGCAATCCGGGTTCGGGGCCCTGTCGCTTCCACCTGGCTCACATCTGAGGCCAAAAAGTGAGCGGACCGCTCGCAGGGCGCCGGTCGGACCCCTGCGACCCCCCTCCATGCGGACCGGACGTGGCTCTGGTTCTTGGGAGTGGGAGCTTCCAAAAAGGTGAACAAAAACACGTCTTGAAGGCCAGTCTTCACGTCTGAAAACTCCCCTGATGGGGAGGGAAATCGTGGGTCCTGAGTAGGTTTTGAGTGGGACACCACCCCTGTTTTGGGCCTGGAAGAGGCCTTAACTAACGAATCTTTGGAGGTCCAGCATTTTTACAGGACCTCCGGCACTGTGTGGAAGCTGCGCACGTGTTCTTTGGGACGCAGTTCACTCTGTACCTTCCGGATGACCAGCCCACTCCTTGGATGATTGTTGGACTCCGTGATTCACCTGCCGATCTGGGTGATGGACTCGATGTTGGGGAATCCCGTGCAACACGCAAGTCGACCTGGCTGCATGTTGGACCATTTTTATGAGGGAACAACTCTAAAAATCCCAGGCCCAGGCCCAAACATGTTCCACTCCGAACGGAAGATTGCTTTGGAAAAGGGTGTCTGGATGAAACTGGGGAAAGGATGGGAAAGGTACTTTTCATAGCACACTTGGCTGGTCTGAAATCGGCTGAACTGCCGTCCTGGCTGCGGTCTAAGACCAGGAACAGCTTGCTCGTGGCGCGATGTCCGGTCGGGAAGGTGGTCACAGGGGTGCCTGGATTTGGACTCAAGAAGCTTGGGGGATCGTCACCAAAATCTTAGGATCTTTCAGAATCCTTTCAAAATCCGGATGTCGTTCTATTCCATCGCCTATGCAGCTCAGGATTCTTTCTTTTCCCTTCCAGTTGATGTGGGGAATCGGGAGGGATGTTCCTTTTGCACCGATTTGGAGGTATTTGTCCGACTATTGTCCAATGGATTCTCAGGAATCGAGAGGAACGGCGAATCCGAGAGCTTTCAACTTGGACTCTCAAGCCATCATGATGTTGCCGGTGAACAGTTGCAGACCACCAAGAAGAAGTATGCAGAATCCATCATTGCACAAACTAGTGGCAATCAGTCCCAGCTTCCTAGTTTTCAAGACCCCTGGTACCACCTGCCTGGACAAGGACTCCTTGTATCTTCAAAGGACACTTGAGCAGAGCAGGATGATTTTGGCTTGGTCATGGCCTTTTGAATATGTATTTAGCTATACAGTACACATGACATACTGTACTCATTCCTGTTTCATCACCAGTGCCGAACCTGCTCTGGATCATGTGAAGCAGATTCGGCGAACACTTGGGCAAAAGTGAGCACACCTTGACAATGGCCAAGGTGCAACCCCGGCGTTTGATCGCAGAGAATGAATAAACAAGGCATGTTGACGGCAAGTGAACCTTTGTCTCAGAGAGTCTTTTTGGGCAAGGTTACGTAGATGTGGAGAAACACATATGTGCGCCCAGCACCACCCCCCCAACGAAAGACCTTGTGCCAAGGCCTCAGATTCGCATCGAAACTGCTTAAAGGATGTCCAGCATAGCCAGAGCACTCTTAGGTTAGGCACCCTCCCATGTCCTTTGCATAATCAGGGTATTGCTCAGGCAGAGGCCTGTTCATATGAGTGTTGCTTGAGAGGGAAGTTTCGTTACACCGTTCGCTGCTTCGTCACAAGGCTTCAAGGCTTCAGGGGATGGCCACAAGACAGACAGCACCGTGAGAACATCAACAACTTCTTCGAACAGATTCTCAAACGAACAAATTGAAGCATGCACTTCACCATTCCAGGAGACCGCTTCACACTCCCAAATCCCAAGGTGTTGGTCCTCTGAAGTTGCTTCCTTCGTCTTCGTCTTCGTCTTCGGACCTGGCCTTTCTACTAGGAGCAAGGGCATCGCTACTAGTAACCAAAAGGGGCCTTGCTACGAACGGAGCGATCGGACGCCGTTTGGAAACCACCCGACGTGTGGTCCGACGTTTGGAACATCCACGAGTCGAACAGGATGAACGGATCTGAAACGAAGAACGGCTCCCAACGAAGCGCATAGAAGCGCTACTCTTTCGGTGCCAGCAGGCCTAAGGGCCACCAACCAGCCGATCGCGGCTCGGGTTCTTCGGTCTTCGCTCGGGTGGTTCCGGCTCGGCCAGCTGTGCCATGGATCCTCTTGGAGGATGAGCCATGAGTTCGGACACCGAGTGAGACGATGTGCCCAGCTGGAAGGGCAATGTGCTGCTTCAGATAATATAGATTGCAAGTGCAAACTATTCTTGGCAGTCCAAGGTAGTGCATTTAAAGGCTGTAGTTCATAGATAAAGACTATAGCAATCTTGAAGAGCCCCATATTGGGGCAAACCCTGTTAAGTTCTTGGTGTTTGCCAATAAACAAGCCCATTCGAGAGCAGTGGTCTGTGTCCCCTGTTGATTGGACGACCAGGAGTGCTGTTGAGAGTACTGGCACCAAGAGGGATTCGAGGGATATGGGACTTTTTAATATTGGAAAAGCGTTTTCCCCGACCACAATTGCAGGCCACTGGTTTTGGATGTTACATTTCCTTTTCAACCCAAGAAGATCTGTCACCTACACCTAAATCATGAGTCCCTTCAGCCTAATGTCGCACCCTTTCAGTTTACATATAACCTAATGGTTTTGTTCACCTTAGGATCCCCTATGCCTCTCAGCCTATGAATGATACCATGAAAGGTCGATTTGTGGGGGAAGGGGACGACTGGAGCAAATCCCTGGGTGCTAGGGGTGCCGTGCTTCTTTTGGTGAAAGCCACCGCAGATCAGGTGGTTCTCCTTTGGGCGCAACATCCATGGGGAGTTGGGACGTAGTTCTCGACCTGGTGGTGAGGCAGGCAGTCGGACTGAAACAACGATCTGGCTCTGCCAGTCGCATAGACTGGCTCGTGAAGCGAGCATGTGGCTGAAGAAGCTGAGCTTCGTTGATTGAATGGGCCGGTTGGCTTGGATTAATTTGGTTGGTTGGTTGGTTGGTTGGTTGCTTCTTTTGCTTGACTGGTTTGGTGCTTCAGGTGGAAGGCCTGGAGAATGCGGATGTGCGGCCTCTGGAGCTGGAGAAGGCGGATTGGTGCACCAGCTTTCGGGGTTTGGGTACAGGAACATCGGGGAATGCCGTGGTTTTGGGGGTGTCGAAGTCCTCTGGACCATTCGCCCGCGGTGGAACTGCCAGGACACATGGGATTTGCATGGATTTGCCACCGTTGACTGGGATTGAGAGTGGATTGACAAAGAGTAGGTCCACAGGTGAATCAACTTTTTGCTACCGTCGGCCCAATTGGGGCAACCAGTCACCAGTGATTCTGACGAGCAGACGAGCAGGTGGTTATGATGAGATGAGGACCACTCCGGCTAACCAGGTCTCATGGTCTCGGGAACCCGATGGGAACCAGTTTCCGGAAATTGGACAGGATCTATATAAAACCTGCAAAAGAAGTGGTTTCTATTCCTTTCTTTTCTTGGCTTCATGGATTGCTTCCCTTTTGGCGCTTGTCAAGTGGGCCTCCCCTACTACTCTTGGCGCTTGATAACAGTTCACCAAGTCAATCACCGAAGTCCAGAACGGAGTCAAGGACCGAAGCTCGACGGCCCCAGTTCGGTCAGTTCTTGTGGGCCACTCGGAAGGGGCAGCGAGCTGCCAGGTGGTCCACTTTGAGACCATCTCCTGTGGCCATTTCCACAACCTGGGGCTCAGTGGTGGCCATGTGGGGGCACCGACCGCGAGCGGCGCGCGCGCGCGGGTGGGCCGCCGGAGAACGGGAGGGGTTGGGAGGGGCGCGGGGTTCGATGTCTCCAGGTCTTCGCGTGGGGCCTGAACTTTGAGGGGCAGTCCGGAGCCGAGAAGAGGTGGAGAGGTGGACACAGACATGCAACCCGATGGAACCAATGGTATTTCAAGGCGAAGCAATCATGTCACACAGTGTCACCGGACATGCACATCTCAAGCATGAGGAGAAGGCAGGAGATGTTAACGGTTTCAACTATTGACCTATCCAGTGATAATGGGGTTCGTGGTTTCTTTGGAGTTTGACACAGATGTAGCCTTGAGAATCTGACAGTTTCTCTTCCTTTCCTTTCAAGGCTGGGCTTTGAGGGGCCAGCCTCCACTCCCTTGGAAGCCTCCCTTGCTGTGCCTCGGCTTGCTCACATTTCGTCGTGGATTCGAGGTTTGTAGGGCAGGTCATTCGTTCGATTTGGACAGATTGACACTTGGATGGAGATCTCTTGTGCAAAGCGCCGGCCAAATCAACACAAGCAGCAAAGAGGGTTTCGTGAAGGTTTTGCAACATTTTCCGGTTGCCTTTTGGATCGCCTATCTGCAGATGGATCACCGAAGCCAGCTTCTGTTTTCTTCCCAAAGAAGCTGAGTGACAGAGTGACAGGCGCAGGGGCACGAATCCCAGGATCTTTGCTGGAACATCCCAAGACGATCCTCGAAAAACTATGTCAAAGCTTAGGTGCCATGAGTTGCAAGAAGCTTTACACCCTCTGGTCCATAGTGTGCCCCTGCTCTGGTCTACGTCTGCTTCCGCGGGTTGGCTCAGGACTGCTTGTTCGCGGTTTTGTTCGCATTTCTGGTGGGGTCTTGCTGATTACAAGATTTACAAGTTTCTATTCAGGTGAACACCTAGTGTTCAACACCCACACAATAAGAGACACACCAAATTGCTCTTTCTGCAGGTTCTCTTGATCGCATATGAAGAAAAAAAGAAGAAGCAGCACCGCAGTTATATAATGTTATATACGTAATAGATACATATATATATATACAGTAATATATATATATATACAGTTATATATATATATGCACATATATATATATATACACATACACATTACAGAATGAGAGAGAAGACAGAGAGATTGATCCGCCGCGGCAGTGGAGTCTTCCCCAATCCGACTGGATCGATTTTGGTTCCCAGGTGTTGGAGGAACCTGTTTGCAGCCTGGCGGCCGGGCGCAGTCACTCTGCTGGGGCTCCAGAGTTGTAGAGCAGAGACCGGTAGCAAAGAAGGGGATCTTTGGTTGAGTCATGTTGAGTTGAGCTTTCGCAATCTGCAGGCAATTTGCGACTCGAAAGACGATCTCTTCACACATTCGTTCTTGCCGCTTTCAAGAGGTCTTCGTGACCAGTGGTGGGCATCCCTTTGTTTGCGGCCCGGTGGCCTGGATTGCGGGGGTGGACTTCTTGACTTCCCATGATTGGCCATGATCTCCACTAGTCACTCGTTTGTTCATGTTGTAGGATGCAGGGTATGCATGGGTATAGGTCTTGAGCTGGATCTGTTTAACACCCAAACAGCTGCTTTCAAGATCTTTCAAGCGGAAACGTGGAGGAGTTCAGATGGCTTTGGGACTTTGAGGTACGAGATAGGACGACATGGATGATGCCTTCCAGCAGGTTTCTGAGGTGTTCAACAGCCCGGCCGGCAGGTTGACATGCTGAGGTTACATGGAGCAAGACAGAGCAATGAACCACCGAGGGGTCGCTAAGGAGAAGACTCGTTCCGTGGAACTTCGGTTTCATCCACTGAGATGGCCATGGATTTCAGGTGAAGCTCTCAACACTTAAAAGGACCAAGAACACTTAGTACTATTCGGAGGTCATATTGACCATTAAAACCTTCCCCCCCCAAAAGAACACGCTGAAAACTCGTGAACGAAGACTTCATCATGAGCCCGGCCCAAAAAGGTTCCTGGCATGTGCTCCGTGGCGCACGTCGCGCACGGGTGTTCCACCCCCAGGCCGCTTGGCCGCGAACGAGCCGGGTGCTGCGACGGCGACCACGCGGACGTCCTCCGGGCCGTTGCAGGCCGTGGAGGGCTTTGGTTTCGAGTGGTTTGGAGGGATTTGGGGTTGCCCACTAGCAATGGCCTCCAACCTACTAGCGATGGCCTCCAACCTACTAGCAATGGTGGTTTGGAGAGATTTAAGCTTTTGGAAACTGTGAGCCGCGATGAGCGGCTGCTGGGAGCCTGCCGAAGTTTCAAATCAGACAAGCATCCTTTGGATTGATGTTGCGGGTGGGCATTCGATCCACGTTAATTGAGAAGGTGCTTTGCGCTAGGTTTGCCAATTCAGGTTTGTTTGCGACTTACTAGAACTTGGCCAGAGCTGCATGCTGGGTTCATCAATCAGTCCAGTTTGCTTTGCCAGCTTGGAATTCTTCTGGATAATTCTGGCCGAAATGACTGCTGCTGCTGCTGCTACCTACCTACTTCAGCAAACATTAGTCCAGATCCATCAGGTAATTGCGCAAAGAGCTTGACCTCGCACCACGGATGTGTTGACACATTTCCCCAGAAGCACCACTCGTTTTCTGGGTCAGCCATGGTATTTACTTCCAAAAATGACAAGGTCTCCAAGAGAAGTATGTCCTCCCAACAGGCGCTGCGGAAGATTGAGCTCACAGATGCCACGAAGCATCCAGAGGCGGTGAGAGGGTCCCCACCGGTCGCATGGCGCGCTGAGTCGAAGCACCGGGTGCCGGCGGACTGTCCGGAGGGTTGAGGTCTTTTACAGGTCGGTGGATTCCAATTCCGCGCAGATTTCTTTGGTCGAGCCGGTCGGGGCAAAACCGACCCGTCTGACATGGGCGAGTTGTCTTTCTCTTTGAGCAAAAGCGGACACGAGGACGGCTGTCGAATCGAGGACGGCTTCCCGGAAGGGAAGCATCGATTTTGGACTGTCCCGGAACGCCCTCCGCTGGCAGGTGTGGAAGAATCAGCAACACGTTTGATACCGTATGACCAGTTACCCTCTGACTCGCTCACTTAGAAGTGGAATTCACCACCTGTTTGGTATTCGGAACATGGTCATCCCAGTGGCCGTCTTCCATGTCCATGTGATGTGTTCGTCGGAGTGTATGAGCTTTTGCTCTCCACTTGGACCACCGAGGTCAGGGTTCCCCCGTCGAATGACCCACCCGCCAGCGATGGTTTTTTCCAGGGCAAGATCATCGACTGCGCCGCCGGGGAGTCACAAGCCTATTTCCTCTCCAGCGAGGGCGAGGCCGGGCGAAGGCACTGGAGTTGGGTGAGTCTGGAAGAGGAAACCAAGTTGGTGAAAGCAAAGTGAGCAAGTCAACTCAAGTGGGCTTTGTTGCAAGACTTGCCTATGATTCATAGTGAGATTTGTGAACTAGGTTGGCTGGACCAGCACATCTTCCTCTTCACGAAACTTCTGCAGCAACACTAAAAAAAAAAGCACATATCATCTTAGCAACATCCTGCATCTTATGCCGCTTCGGCCCACCACATCGGTTTGAATCGGACGTCACAACGTCGCCTTTTCCCGACGTCGTCGACCGAATCTCCACGACGTCGCCCGGCACCGGAAGATCTCTTTTGCACCATGGGACAGGCGCAGTTTCAGGCGTTCGGCATGAAAACCAGAACCAGAGGTTTTGGGTGAAAGACAACATGTGATCTTCAACCAGACAAAGCCCCCAAGTAGGAGACGTGCACTCAGTGGCATGCTTTTCAAAAGCTCTCCCAGCTTTGCTCTCAGCTTTGGTCCTGGCTGGGGGAAGATGTGCGGCACCCAGCGGTGGATGGGAAGGTGCCGGAGGTGCAGAGGAGAGGTGATGGGATTGGATCTTCTTGGATCCAATCCCAAAGACTGGCTGGCTATCATTTGGACCATTGGGGGTTTCGCTGCCGCACACCTCGAAAGCCCAAACGTCGCACGGCCCCGTCTGCGAGCATAGGAAGTAATGACTGAGAGACCAGCGGGGGAAGTGCCAGAAGAACAAGGACAAGGGAAGAAGAAGAGGGTTTGCACCCACTATAAATACCGAGGCTAACAGCAGACCCGCAAGGGCCTCGTTGGATTTTTCCTGACCTAGATAGCCTTCAGAACACTTCAGCCACAGTTGATAAATCCTTGTTGATGAAAATCCTGCGGAACCTCAAAGCTGGCACGACGTGGAACCTCCTTTGGCTCTCAGGACAAAGACATGCCTTGAGCGTCGCGAGATCTATCGCGATGTAACAAATAGCATCACACAGTATCATCATGATGATAGCACTGAATCCAGCTGCGGGTCAAGACTCAGAGCCCCAAACCAGGGTAGGTTGACCTCTTTAGTAGTCTGTTCTGTTCATTTTCGATGGTCCACCAAGGTCCCCCAGTTTTGACCCATAGCCACTTCAGCACCCATCCATCGCCGTGCTCCGCCCGGCCAAACACCGCAATCCTTGTCCTGTATAGACCCGGATCGCGCGGGGCGCCGGAGCGCGGATCCTCTTCGTGCGCGGATCATCGTGCCTGGAAGCCATGCGGATTGGAGTACAGCTGTTGAAGCGTTCGGTGGCCCAGGGGCGACAGGGCCTTCGGTGGCCCTTGGAGCAACGCCCGCCCTGTCGGGGGGGTGGATCCTGGGAATCAACGTACACGCTTTCGTTGGCCTCCCAGCTTGGTCAACTGCGACAGGTCCCAGTTTCATGACCACAAAACACAAGTAAAACCCAAAGGCCCCAAAGAAAGCCGCAGGTTTGTGAACCGGAGGTGGATGATCTGGGCACCAATCTTGGGAACCTCCAAACGGACGTTCACTTTCAACTTGGACTGTGGGGTGCCAGAGTCTTCTTACATCCAGGTTGTGAAGTGGAAAGGATCATGTTTTCTTCAATCAGAGGGGAAGTCCTGATCACTAATTACTTCTCATTAGATTCAGAGGCCCTTTGCAGACAGTGATCAATATGGAAATAGAATGTCAATGGGTTTGATACTGAGGAGAAGGTCTTGGTCAAAGCAGTTGCAAGAGGTGCAGATTGAGATGTATGGATGGCTTGCTGTAACATATCATAGCTCTAGTACCCCCCCCACACGCACACACACACACAAGCCTGGGCAAGTAGGACAGAATGACCCCCAGGCCCCCAGGCTGAGCCTCTTTGGACGGCGGAGAACCATGGAATCCACAGACCTATGTGCCATGGGCCATGCTCTCCCCACCGGCGCAAGCAAGGCATGCCAATGGACTTCGAGCCAAGTGAAACCATCGCAAGAGCACCTTGACCGTTCGATTGTGGAGTAAGTTTTTTATTGCCGACCCTTCACGAAGGGATCCCTTTGTGTAATCAGCTTTTGAAGTGGGTCAGTATCCAAATTGCTGACGGCAAAGGGGGTAAAGGGCCTTACTCTCATCTGAGCTTGAACAGATATATAAACTATACATGTATCCTGAAACTATCATAATATCTCTGAGTCTGTTCTCCCAAAACAGTTCGTGCTTGCTTTTTGTTGTTGTTTCTTTCACAATTGACCACCGAAACAAAGGTCGGAAACACCCAGATGTTCCTCAGAAGCCGCCAAGCTGTGTGGAGCCCCTGAGGTGAAATCCAAGCTGGAGTCCATCTTTTTAGACCAGCTGAAGAAACAAGGCGAGGAGGACGTCGATGAGGCCCAGGGAAGAAAGAAACGCATGCGACTTCCTCCTCAAGTAGTGAGCGAAAGGAAGTGACTTCTGCAGGTTTGGTGGTCAGAAGTTGAGCACTTGCATGTGGTCGCGCGACGAAGAATCCGACCACCAAGGCTGCCATGGTTAGAACCGTGCTGAGTACAGTGGTTCTGACTGGCTTGACCTTCTTTTTCCCAAAGAAGGGAGCTCTGGTTCCGATGAACTTCACCGGCAGATGTGTTTCGGTGATTGTAGAGTTAGTAAAACAGGGACTCGGGGGAACCCTTTTGGCCCCCTACCAGCAACCACTTCCTTTGCAGTAAATCCAAAGGTCAGAGACCATGGAACACATGACGAGTGACACGAGACCATGAGTCTGGGTGAACGTATATGAGTGGCTTGCAGGTGGATGTGACGCTGGTCTTCGAAGGCGAAGTCTTAGAGGACAGTCCATAGGGTAGGATGCCCCAATGGATCGCTTGAGAAAGATGTGGGTCTGGGAGAAGTCCGCGGTTGAAGTTCATGTGAGCATTCCGCTGGGTTCACAGTGGTAAAAATCATGTCTGACATCATGAGGAAAGTCGAGGAACAGACTGTGAGGTCGGGTAGGCAAGGTCTTTTTGGTCAAGGGGCCAACACTCAGTGACAATCAGTGCTGCAATATATCCAGCTGTGGAGTTTAAAGTATATAAAGGTAATTTTTGCATGTCAACACCATGAAGTATATTTCTGTTCTAGGAGGCATTTGCGCAGCCCTATTTTTCAGGGTTCAAGTCGTAGCCCTCGGAAGATCAGGGAAGCATCATTTACTTCCAGACCTAGATAGAAAAAGCACACTAGTCAAAGGTTAGGCCGCCGTAGGACTCCTCTGCGACAGCCACACTCATGAGAGAAGATTGCTGTCTCTGGGTTGACAATCAAGGATCAATCAAGGATTACTCTGGTATAGATTGACCAATCCAAGCCAATTTGTGTGGGTTTCAGACAATTCAGTGTCTGTGTGCGCACACTCTCCGCAGTCCACTCCCAACTGGACCAGCCTTTTCAGCCGTTTCCGAAAACGGCCGGAGGAGGAGCAGACCTTGGCCTCGGCCGGGCTGGTGGAGAACTCCACCCTCGTGGTGCTCTCGCGCACGCTGGCGGAGGCTGACCCACCGGGCGGTTCGACCCGTGGGGATGTCTGGGCGGAGACCGACGTGGTGATGTCTGGTCTTGGTTGAAGAGTGGGTTGGGGTGTGGTTGGTTTTGGTGAATGATACTGGTATGATATTGGTTTTGGGTGGGTGAAGGGATGTTCAAGTATTGTAGGAAAGCATTTATGAGGCCAACAATGCAACAATGCAACAATGCAACATTCATTTTGGGGCCAAGAGGTTGAGTTATCACAAAGAGGCCCTAAAAACATATATATATATACATATATACACAGTATATAAATGTAAACAAAGGCACTCACTTAGATATACTTAGATAATTATCTTACTTGACAATGTGTGCAAAGAAGCTTTGAAGGAGATTTCCCTGCGGAACCTTGGTCTGAGCGGGCTCGCCAGGTGCATGGGAAGCACAGCGGGGTCTTTTCTGTGAGGCTCGCCAGATGTGGCTGTTGCCGGTCTAGCGAACCTCGCCGTGGGCGACAACGAGTTTTCAGACAAGTTGCTTTATATAATGTGTTCTGTAGAAGTTTAGAGGGATTTCATCTTCATGAAACAAGTGTCGGGTGGACCTTGCCCAGAATCCTTTTCAAGGCAAGCATGATTTGTTGCAACTGCATTCCATGATGGGAACATGGGTATAAAAGGCCCCCGTTTCAGGTTGATGTTGGTGTTTGGAAAGCTGACTCTTTTTGGGCCGTGTTTGATGCTTGGCCGGTTCAACCAGCAACATTTGTTCAATATCCGCTCAGAAGGACCACCCGTACTTAGAGGAAAGATCAGATACACAACCTTTGGCCCGTTCTTGTCTATAGATGTTGACCATTTCTCCGGATCTTTGGAGGGGATCTCCCTCCCTTCCGCGGGACGCCGATGTGGACCGGAAGAGCTGGCGGCCAGGAAGGCCTTCGAAGAGCTGGCGCAGAGTGGGCACACTGGGCCCGAAGCAGAGATCCAGGCCGGAGAACGCGAGCCCAATCGAATCCTCTTGAGGACTGGGGTGGGGTTTTGGTGACACACTGTCACCGTTTTTTTAAACCACAGCCCTAGAAGCAGGAAAGAAGCGAAAGACATGTTCCTCCCCCCATCGGAGGTTGCGGCTGGCCGCCTAGAAGTGGAGGTTCCTCCCGATGCCAACCGGCCGTGGAGGCCCTGAAAACTGCTCCGCCCTTTAGCATCTTCTGCAACCTCCAGGCAAGCGGCATGCGTTCGGGTGTGGGAACAGCTTCACCCAGTCGTGCAGGTGGTAGGATCAGTGCGACGGCCGGACGCTTTCTTTTTTGGATCTGATTGAGGAAGAGCGGATCTCTGAGTAGTACTAGGCACTTTAACAAGCCATATTGGTTGTGCTATATCATCGAACATGAAAGAAGATCGGAGGTCTATAATTTTTGTGCTGGTAGGGAACCCACACAGCATGCATGACTTTTGTGATGATCTCTGAGTGATGGACTCTGGTTCTAGGTCTTATGCAATGACAAAATAATTCGCTTCTATAGCCATGTGCCCCCAAAAGGCTCAATCAACCTTCCCACCTGAAAAGGATGGAAACTAGACTAAATAGGTGACAGGTGAATCCCATTGAATTTGTAACTGGAACTCGTTTCGTTCTCTGAATAGAAGCTCGTGCCACTTTAGTCATTCTAGGTGGCCACTTTTCACCAAGTGTCTGGACCAGACGTGACACTCAAAGGACTCGATCGAAAACGGACATCGAATGGCTGTGGTGACTTCTTCCCAACGGCTGAGCAAAACATCTACAGCCCCGAATGACGCCCAAAACACACGCAGTTCCAGTGCGCACGCTTTGTGGGTCGTTGTGCTGCCCTAGGAGTTGGGAGAGCTGGGTGCCGGTTGGGTTCTATTCTTCCACTTCGCAGCTGGGACTGATCCCGGATGGACTGATGGATGGGGTGTGGGGGGAGTTAGTCGTTGGTTGTTTGTGTTTAACTTTTTCTTGGGTGTTGCTGGAGTCAGCACTTGCTCCAGGTGTTTTTCGATTCGAGGGCGACTGGGGCAATTGCTCGACAAAAGCTGTGGATGGAGCTTCTGCTGGGCAGTAAGTAAGAACCATCGCCCCACATGACAGGCGGCAGCTGTGGATATTTGACAATCTTTCATATACATTCATATACCATGTTCATCCATTTTCTACCCGATAGCATGGCAGAGACCAAAACAATCACAATCTTCTACATCCAGATGTGGCGTGTTTGATCAGGGGACCAACCTGTATCCTTTGTCGTTGCCAAGAAACCCAACGAGTTTAATATTTGGAGTCGCTTTCCTGACACTGGGTTTTTTCGTGCGTGCGCGGGTGTCGTACGAGGAGTTTTCCTGCGCTGACAGACAAGTGAGGTGTATTTGATGTGTATTGGAGGGTCTGTCGAACACTTGCAGATCTGGAGAAACTGCAGGTTCTCAGCGCCTGGTGCATGATTTTTCTCGAATTGTTTGACCAGATCCTAAGAATTGATGGGTTCACGGAGATGGACCGGGCATCAAGGCTACTTGGGGCTCTAAACTTTGTGGAGTTATAGAGGCATAGGATTTGACGGTTGCTGCACCCGCCCCACCTCTTCCAGCGTCTCTCCAGTAGTAGCGAGCAGTGGACCTTTAGCAAAGGTGCTCTCAAGAATCACGAACCCCAACAACCTGAAGTCACCAACATGACTCCGATGCGGATCAGGTGCGCTTTCTGGGCATTTTGTGCTTGTTCCTCTTCTGTTTGCAGTTGCCCAGCTTTTTGGTCTTTCGCACCTGGACCGCAAAAGGGACAGTGCAACAAAGCGCTTGTTTCCTCTTAGTCCCATTTGATATACCATGTATATATATATATGGTCTCATCGTCAGGCTACCTGACGAAACGAGGTGTGCGGTTGATCGGTGTGCGGGGCATGGGGAAACTTACTACATTTGGGAACCCGGACGGTTAGGTTGAGGGAACTGTTGATGTCGTATTGAAGGCATCCATCAAAGGCCTCGCGCCAGATTTCTGAAGTTGGCAGCCGAGACGGACGTCACTATACGTCACTCAAGAGAAACAATGTTCATCAAACCATTTGTGAAGAAACAAAAGACCATTTGCTTCAGCAAGCATCCATAGATAGATGAAATCAAGAATCTTGATGAAGTCCCTTCAGCCAATCATTCTTCCCATCCTTTTGAACACTTCCCCATTTGGTCGACTGAAGCTGTATGACTGCTGTATGACATGGGTTGACCTTGAGATTCGGCGATGAACTGGGAGTGGTGAGTGAGTGCCAACCACTCAATGGTTTTGTTTCAACATTAGTGTGCTCAGATGACCCCGTGTCACTGCCATGCCAGTTGAACGAAGACATCTAAGACTCTGCAAGCATTAAACATTGCCCACGTACGTTTGTTCTAAACCTCTACTTGTTAATCTCATTGAAGCATTTCTGAGGGACCCCTTTTTTGAAACCAAGCTGCGTGCCTTTCTGCTGACACCTGTTCTGGTGCAGTGTTTGCATCTCAATTACAAACCAGATCCTGACCTGGGCGTTCGAATGCCCCAGTAGAGCAATTGCCTACTGTAAAGAGTTTCATGTCTCTATTGTTGCCGATCCTGACCTCTAGAGCCATGGCTTCGACGAAACAGAACTCTTCCAACATGCAGAGCGCTGTCGTTCAATATGCCGCAGTCTTTTCGAAGTGACACGAAGTGACACGAAGGGACACGAAGTGTCGTTGGTACATGATTTATCTATCGTGGATTTGAAGTATTCAGTGGATTCTATCAGATGTTCTTTTTTCGCCTATGGAGTTGACTGACATGTCCCGAAAGTCATCGTATCATCCGACCATGTCGGGCTTCCCTAGCCTCGGGACTCCCGACGTCCAAGCCTCGAGGATCAGCGGGTCCCTCCGCTAACCTCGTTCCTCGCGGCGGCCCGGACGAGACGGCCGCGGGAAGCCTCTCAGGATCCTTTCCAGAAGAGGCCCTGGAGAGCTGGAGGAACTTCACACATACCAAGAGGCCGGTGGGTTGCATTAGCGTCCGAGGAACTTCATCACTGCAGAATGTCTAGGGTTCTAAGACTGTCGCAAGGGAGCTCTTCTAATGTGGGTCTTGGTCCGGGTCCTGGTCTTTCGTTTTTTTCCCTGTCAGCCTCTATCTAATGTTCAATCATGGTTTAGGTTCCGGTTTTCATATTTGGTAAGTGGCTTTGTACGCACAAAAAGTATCCAACAAAAATTGGGCATCGAAAGCCAGGGCCAGATTCGGAGTCCAAAATTATCAACAACCCTGAAAGCACCCTGGACATCCCTGGACTAAACACTTGCTGCTTGCTTGTTTTGCAGTTTCGAATGGGCCAGTTGAATAATGAATACTTGAATACTTTGACATGCTTTGTGCAGTTTGTCACTCTCTAGACCCTCTAGACATGTTCACACCAGTAAGAAAGTGGCCCACACAGCACTTTTATTGATTCGTTCTAGTAGCAACGCGTGCATCTCTGGTCTCTGATGCATGCTGTGCCATGGGGATGGTGTGATTTTGCAACTCTTGATGTGACTTGAATGAGGCGCTAAAGAGAAAGGTTTTCATCTCACACCACATTTTCCGGCGTTGCCACGGACGTTCCAAAGAATTCAGCAACTCCACACCCACGTTGCACCCATGTTCACTTCTATGGATGCTTATTTCTGGTCCTGGACAGACTCGAAAAGAACGCGCCTTCCCGCGCCGAACGCACGGCGCCAGGGATCGGCCCATTCGTTGGGACTACATCACTGCCGGCAACACGGGGCCCCAGGGCGCCGACTCCTCGTGGTACGGTCGCCGAGAGTGGTCCGAAGGTGAACAACCGGGCGGAAGTAGGCGGCGGGGTGAAGGAACTCGGGTGAAGGTGCTCTGAGTTTTCTGAAATTGGGACGGCGGACATGTGCCATGTTCGGGCTCATGTTTTTTGATGGCTTTTTCGCTGGACCAATTAGTGAGGTGGATTTGTCTTGGAATGTGTGTTGCATATATTCTGCGCTCTGATAGCAGCAAAGAGGACATATATCAAATCGTTTCAATGAAAGGTACCCCCCCCAAAAGACGAATCAGCCGTTTTTTTAGGTTTCAAACCGATCGAAATAACCTTGTTGCTTCGGGTCCTGCGCTCGCATGCCGGACTTTTGTCGCCCTAGCGACTTAGGCCCTGGCTGTGTGCTCTGGTCAGCGCATTAACCATGCTGGTGATCTTGCCCCAATATGCAAGGCCCAGGGGCATCACCTGGGTAACACTCAGCAGAACCGCAGCAGACTTTGGCTTTGAATGTATGAAAAGCAGAGTTCTTTCATGTTCTTGGGGTGAACAACTCTATTATTCCATCCCCTCTTGATAGGAGAACTTTTACTCGAACCACACGTCAGAAGGTAGGAATCCAAACAGGAATGGCACAAGTTGTCACAGTCAGGGCACCATCGCACTGTTAGTACAGGGTGCAAAACTGTTCATCGCACTTGTTCCACTTCCGGAGATCGTCAGCGAAAAAGATACCCAAGAAGAAGAAATCTTGAACTCGCCTTCTAACAGCCTGCTTAGATTATCGCTTTCCATGGAGAACTTGCAGGTCACCAAAATGCCCACGGGTTTCCTTGGAACATCGACCACAACGGTTGGGTGTCTCCCTGTGACCAACCCGGTGGTGCTCCACTACGAACAAGGTGCATCGCTACTAGTAACCTACTAGTAGCTTGTCTTCTTGCTACTAGTAGTAATGCCAGGAGCTACTGGTAGCTTCTTGTTACTACTAGTAAGGTACCTAAGCTACTTAGTAACAAGTTCTGCCACACGTCTCCCGCGGAGGTGGCAACATCGGCTCCGCGAGACCCTGGACCGACGACAGGCGCGACGCTGGACGACGAGCGGAGCGAAGGGCGGTTTCAGGGATCGGTTTTTGAGCGGTTGGACACTGAAGCAATGCATGGAAGTGGAACATGTGGAACTCAAGCTGCTTGTAGAGGATTGAACATGGATTTCCAACCATTGAACATTGATCATGGATTGAACATGGAAGTGGGATTGAATCGGATTGAACATGGAACTTGATTGGAATCTATTGAAAGGATGCTGATGGAGAAATGCTCTCCAACACTGAAAAAAGATCTATTGAATCTACTGGCCACCTGAAAAATGGCGGTCCATTGGCTATCCTCATGGCTCATGATCATGGCTTTGGAGATGTTTGGATCACGTCACTGGGTCGCGCGCGCGCGCGCACCTGCTCTTTGGTACGAACGTCACGGCTTCATTCCATTCCATGGGCTCGGAAGGCTTGGTCATTTCCAAATGCGAAAAACCTGCACCAGCGCCAAAACCGGATCCAACAGCGCCAAGAGAACCAGACCTTGAAGACATGAGAAGCAACGGCCACAGATCCTTTGGGTGGGAACTCCCATGAAACAGCAGTGCGTTCGTCGCTCCGGCGGGTTCACCGGCTGAAGGAAACTAGTTCACCTGGTGTGAAAGAAAGAAAGGGTGTCAACAAGGCCGAGGGAGAACCCTGCCGATAGCACGAGAGCGAAGAGTGCCAGGGAATGCACAGTCACTATGTTGAATAGAGATCATGCAAGCTTCTGAAGCAAAGGTCACTCTTCTGGTGTGAAAGCAAAAGCCTTTATTTTCACAATTGCAGATACTATCTGTGGGCCACGCCCTCCAGCGGCACCAGCACCCACGCTCCACACACTGCCATAGACATCTAACAGCGGCACCGGCACCCAGCGCACACTGCCATAGATCTCTGGCAGCAACACCCTGCAGTGGCACCCTGCAGCGGCGCCAGCACGCAGGCTCCAAAGCGGCCAGACACAGCTGGCAGCACCTTCAGCGGCACCCCTATCCACACACAGGCACAGACTCCTATACTTGAAGCAAGACTCCAATAGCTCTTGCAAGAAAAGCAATCTCTGGGAACGATGCGTGAACGTCCTCAGTGCACTTCCATCTGAGAGTTCTCACAAGAGGATGAAACACTCTCCAACCAAGCGACCCTCCAGCAACCAGGATGGCTGCCCACTTCTACATGTCCATCAGTTCCACTCAGCCGATGGCTGAAGACATATTCATTTTTGATTCCAAAAGGCAAATGACTTCGACTTCAAGCTAATCCGAGTGGGTTTCCATCCAAGATTGAAGTCTTGGAATCCTCAAATTCAATCACATTCTTCTCATTCGACTCAGAGCTGAAGGGGTGGAACACAATGTGGAACATATTTGCACAGGATTGGTCCCGGTTTGCTTTGCATCTTCAACTGCTTTGTGAAATTTCTGATTGGTCCCGGAGACCCAGCTTGGGCGGCGGTGCCCTGCCCGAACAGCCGCTGTCTACCGCTGCAGGTCGATCCCGACGACTTCGCGCTGTTCCTCGACGGCCTCCCCTCAGATGCCAGGCGAAGTCGGCGTTCGCGAAGGGTGTCGAAGAACGTCGCCAAGGGCTCGAAGCGGAGGTTCTCCGTGTTTGACATGGTTCCCCTTCTGGTGTTTTTCGTCTTCTTGCGGAGAACATATGGATGATCCGGGGCGGAAGCAGGTGTCCTTTTGGGGCTGGAAGGGAAGCTCGGATCCATTCACAGAAGAATGATAATTACAAATCATGTTGTTTTGGCTTCTGTTCAGCATTTGATTTCACTTCCGCAGAACTTGCCATGAACTCTTACAGAATCTCGATTGTGAAAAATGGATGGCTGGTTCAAATAAACAGCTAACTTATGAAAGTACTCAGTAGTATATAATTTCTCCAAAGTGGCCGCGTTACAAATCTCTGCTCCAACTGGGAATTCTTCTACTGTAAGAAGCTCTCGAACAAGTTCCACCGGGTGGACATGAACCCCCACATTTTGTTGCAGCCCCTCTAGGGTCTTCCACATGGAGCCGTCCCCGCCTCACCCTTCATGTTTCTTGAGGAAAGCAACTGCATTTCAACTAAAGCACTCCATCTTCTCTCACCATGTGACCATCCGGATCTCTTCTCGCACCACTCCTTCCAGGGACGAGGACGAGATCAAGGCCTTCGTGGAGACTTGGAGCGAGGGAACCAGCGACCAAAGGCATGGGCCAAACAAAGGCGCCCACACAGGGCGCCACAGGGTGCCAGCCTGGAACCTTGAAGAAGCAGAAACAAGCTATAGAAGTGTTTCATGTTTTTGCTTCAACAATTGATGTCAAGAACCATTTGCATATACCGGCGTATACCGGCAGTTTGACAAGCCAGAACTTCGTCAGAACAGTTTCTGACGAGCTCCCAGGTCTATAATCCGCTGCGAAGGTGTTTCCTTTTGGGAACGTGTTGGGACGGACGTGCTCACGTGACGTCGTCATGTGAGCCACTTTTGTCACTGGTCGTACGGAACATTTCTCAGAGTTGCAGAAGATTTTGTTGCAACTTGCCGTCACTGAACTGAACGAATAGACATGAATATCATAAATAGGCACAAGTCCAAGCTCGGTGGAAAGGAACGCCCACCGAGCAAGGGCAGAGTCCCCGATGCTCTTCCCTAGTTCAGTTCGCTCCCCGAAGCTGGATGGAGGTTTGAAAGGCAATGGTGCATGCATTCGACTTGTTGGTGTGAAACATGAGTTGCATACTTAGCATAAAACAACGTCGTTTGCTGAGATATTGGCATGGCATCGCAAAAAGTTGTTTTTGCTTCGTAAATCGCCTTGAAAGACCAACAGTTTCGACATGCAGCACCCGTTGTAAGGGCCCGGGTGTTTACACCACACATAGCAAGGGCCCGGTGTCCCCTCAGTCCTCAGTGCTTCGGCCTCCGCCGCTTTCCGCCGCTTTCCTAGGAGCAACATGGGCGTGCTGGAGAGCACACAGAGGTCGTGATGGCGGCTTAGCAAAGCAGTTTTGCGTGGACACGGACCAAACCACGGTGAATCTGCCAAGTGGGAGGCCCAAGCGCCCAAACAGATCCATCTAAAGTTCTTTTTCTTGCGAGTGCGCACTTGGAAGTCTATTCGGAATGAACAAACAGGGCCACCACAGGAAGATGTGGGCCACGCGGAAGACGTGGACGTTTGAGAGCCATGTTCTTATCTACGCAGTGGTGGCTGCGTAGATGGTGGCCGCTTCATCAGCACCTGGCCGTTGTTGGCAGGGCAGTCGAAGAAGAAGGGAATAGAAGTGAGAAGCTTCATGACTTGAGGTGGTCATCGCCTATGACATGGAGGTCTTTCAGACAATGCTGAGTGATATCAAAGAAGCCAAAGAGGAGCCTCAGGGTGCTTGGAAGAAGAAGAAGAAGAAGAAGAAGAAGAAGAAGAAGAAGAAGAATGAGAATGGCTCTCCGGGAACCCTGAAAGAAGAACCTTCCACAAAACACAAACAAAACAGATACACCGCGAAAAAAGTAAGAGGCGCAACTCCAATCATGCGGAGAGCGCCATCTACCCTACCCAAACGTCAAATTCAGACCACTGCCAAAAATCGCGGTTATGGATCCGTGACTGATGAGATCTTGAAACATTGCGCCATCTACTTGCATTGCCAGTCACTAGACAAATGCTAATGCTACTGTAAGTTCATGATTCTTTGCAAAGATGAGGCCATTCCATGATATGCACTCTTGCCCCTCTAAAAAGTATTGAGCCATCTACTCCCTCATGATTTAGCTTTGCAGACGATGGGTGAACGAATACTAAAAAATCACGAAACCTGACAAAAACCACCTGTTTTTCCCAAATTCAACCTTAAGACAAAAAAATCGGGACGGTTCGATTTCAACAATCGCCTTTGATCGAGTCTACTCGTGCCGTTTTTGCTTGGCATCCCTTGTGTGGAGTAGATGGCGCAACTCAAGGAGCGTACAATGCCAAGTAGATGGCGCAACTCAAAAACCCTGTGCCTTTTACTTTTTTCGCGGAGTAGATTGTGATCTCTGTCGTTACTCTGTTGTTGCATTGACTTTGTATACTCTTTTCGCTATGACCATGTGGGAATCAGCGAAGTGGCCAATCTGCTCAGCTGAATCGAGTCAAGCCCACAGTCCGACAGTAGGTGGCGAGCGAGGCTCCCTCGAATTTCTCCCTTTAGAGGTTGTAGCAGGGAGTAGAAGTAGAAGTATATAGTAGAAGAAGTCTGCCCAAGCCAAAAGGACGCCAGCCGAGCCCAGTTCGGAGCAATTCCTTGTGAGATACATCTCAACAGGGGTGATGAGTATTTGAAACATTGAAAGCTATTGGAAGTTTCCAAAAACATTCTATCGCCTAGGTGATGGACCTTTCGCCACATCCCAGTTCGAGTCCTCAGGAGCTGGCAGCTTGTGGCTCTTCCGCCCCGGAGCGAGGCGCCTTGCTCGAGCGGCTCAAGGAACTGCGCAGACCCTTTAGGCCAGACCGAGCTCGACGGGTCATCCGGCCGGGTCGGTCTGGCCCTTGGGGAGATCCCATGATCCCATCTGGATGGCAGTCGAGCGGCTTTCAAAAGAAGGAACCTCTTGGGTTCTACCTCTAGCAATCCAATCTTCCAAAAGATTGGGTATGATGATCCCTATTGGATTCAGAGCATTTTTATAGATGATCTCTGGAAGGTTTTATCCCATCTTCACTGAGATACCATGGAGGAGGAGTGTTTTCCTTCGAGATCATTTGACTTGATACAAATCCTTTGACAAAATCGACATAGTTGGAGAATGGGGATGAGGATAGGGACATTGCTTTGATGTGGCTGCATTTAGGGATTCCATTGAAGTCTTCAGTGTTCCACCCTCGCTCGCGCCAAAGCCCAGCCAGGTCCTCCGAGGCCCTCCGGTCAGTGCTGCCCTGCACAGGCACCGACACCCGTTTGTTTGGTGTTTTTTTCGTTTTTTCCATGAGTGCACGGCATGGGACATGGTAGGATTTAGTGCTGCACTGATGGAAGAGCTTGACACGCACGCCAGATGCCCATCTCCGCTGGCACGATTTCTTTCATCAACCGTACTATGATGCATGACCACAAGGCCTCATGACACGTTTTCAGCAAGTTGAAACATTTGGTGTACGGTGTAGGGATATATTATATATATGATATATGGGTCAAAACAACAAAGCTCCAGAAAAACCATATGTTGTGGTCATGTTTCCCTTCTAAAGGGGGTGGGCTTTGGCAGTTCTTTTTGATTCACATGTGAATACTCTACATTCTCTCCTATCGCAGCTCTTCTTGAAGAAGCCCACCAAAGACCTCTTGCAACCAGCTCATCAGCTGGTGAGGCAGTCCCATCCTCGCTAGTGGTTTCTTGGGATAGCTGGTGGTTTCTTGAGCGACTCTGGAGCGGCTAGGTGTTCTGCTGGACCAGCTGGGTGGGGGATCTGCTGGACTTTAGACCAGACCAGCAGCGATGCAGGACAAGCCGTGGTCATCTTGAGATCTCAAGAAGATCATCGCAACTTGCCTCTATAGTATGATAGTCGTGTCGCTTCATCCGGGTGACAGAGGTTGGCCCCGGTGAGCGAGTGTAGGGAATGCATAGCATGCTTGGTGGGGCAATGTCAGCTGAGTCTAGGTATGGTACCCATTCCCTCAATCCCCACTTGAAAATACAGCCACTCAGACCATATTCACCTGCCCCGTGTCCTTGAGCTATGGGTTGTTTCATTTTGGATCCGAGTCCTGGTGCTGAACTGCAGCCGGACCAAGATTTGAGGAAGAAGGTTTGTGTTCACCTCCAGTGGGATGAAGGCCTCATGCGGTAGGAGAAGCAGATTTCTTTGCCCTTCCAGTGCAAGCAAGAGTCGCTTCTCTTGCCGATTGATGACAAGGGCCAGAAAGCACGTGCTTGCCTTTTCAGCCAGTGATCCCACTTGGACCATTGGAAGAGGACAAGACCGCCGTGCCAACTCTCTCTCTCTCTCTCTTGTAGAGTAAAGCTCAAAGCTCAGGGATCCGGGAGTGGTGCTCGTTTCCTCGGCTCAATTCAATCTCATCAGCGCATCAGGAGAGGTCTTGGAGCAATGGGACAACACCTTTGATCCTTGTCCTGAAAGGTAGGAAAGCGTTGACAACTAATAGTTAGTGGGGTGTCGGTATGTATCAAACAGGTTTTGTCAATTTGTTGCTTTCACCTGTCCTTTGTCGAGTCCTCCGTTCGGCGGTCGCATTTGTGGTCGAAGGCCTAAGCGCGCCTGCCAAGTCTCCAGATCCTAGAATCCAACGATTTCTCCTCGCAGAACAAGCAATTTTCGTGAGAATTCCATAAAACTTCCAGTTCAGGTAGTTTGGTGATTCCCTTCCTCATCCTGCCACGCACGGTTTGTTTGAGACCGAGAGAGGCTTCATAGATTGCATAGATTCCAATATTTTCACCAATGGCATTGAAAGTCAAAATCAAAGAAGTTGTGGTGACCGACCTTCAATGTCTTCAATGTGCCTGTTTCAGTTTGGTGAAATATGATGATTCAGGGACGATTCATAGAACCCCTCAAGGTCTTTGCATATTAGAAGAACCAATGGGTTCTGATCTAATACCATCTTCCCTTTATTTTGGGGGTCTGGCGGGCAGGGGTATTTCATTGAAAGACATACAGTGACACACCCAGATATCAGTACCCTTCCAGAAGGATGATCAGATCGACCCTCCCAAGAAAGAGGTTGAACTCCTTAATCTTCGACATCCAAATCGGCGGCGGTGCTTCGGGGGCTTCCCAGAGGGCTTGTGTTGTTCTCTGTGGCAAGGAGTGGCTCATGAACCTCACCCAGTGCCTGAAGATCAATAGTTGGGACTCTCAGCACCCTGCGCTGCGCTCCGCGTGCCCTTGAGAGTGGCACCCTCTCTGGTGGTGGTTTCCTTGTTGAGCGAAGTCAGGGATTCTTGACGTTCGATTCTTCTAAAGATTCTTACATCGCGACTTAGGGATGGGCAGGGTTGAACGCAAATGTTTGCCATGAGGTCGCACTACACGGTTTCGCAAGAGGCACGTGGCGCCTCGGCAAAATGGGGCCTTGGGTAAGTGTACCAGGGAGACCCTTGAGCCTTGGCGATCCCATTTCTTGTCCTTCTGTTTGTGGGTTTCCACATTTTTTGGCTTCACTGCCTTCAGTCCCCTGTCTTCGACTAAAGATACTAAAGACACATGCTGTAGTTCGCATCCATAGGAAAAAACAGTCTTGTTCAGAGTGACCCACGCCAACCACCACTTCTAACGGCTATCTTGCACGTCTCATTTTCCACCCGCAGGTAGAAGAACTCACCGCTTGAGAAAAGGACCGCTTACTTCCATTGGGTATTCACATTGGGCGGTTCCAGGTGATGCCGGAAGAGCGGCTGTTTCGGCTATGAACCAATTCTACCTCCATGCGGTTCACCTTCCTTCCGCCCAGTTCTTTTTTGCTCGCCGAGGTGCGGATCACACGCGCAGCGAACCCTCGGACATCTTGTGGGAGAATTTGACGGCCTCGCACCAGACACGTTTGTGGCTCCGGGCCAAGACCTACGCCTTTGTGGGGCTGTGACTAGGCGGAGAAGGAGGACAGAGGAGGACAGAGGAGGAGGATACATTTTGACTGCATGTAAGGTTGATAAAGGTTGATTGATTGTAGTTTTTGGAGTTGGATTCCGAGTCTTTCTTTTTTGGTCTTTCTTTTGGGCCTCCCGCAGGAGTCGCAGGTGGTTGGGCCTTTGATCGATCGAGAACGGTGCATCCGACGTTCCGACGTCGGCACGCGGCGTCAACTGAGAACCCTGGCTGGCTGTTTGGTCCTGGTGGTCGCGATCAACCGGATCATGGATTATTTCATTGGACACAAGGCAGGGACTACTTCGCCGCAAAGGGTTCTGGGGGTCAGTCGACTTGGGTTGTGATTCAGAACCGTTGGAGCACTGCGGGTTGCTAGATGTTGCCAATTCCCGTGCTTGAGCGTATGCTCACTCTGTCCTAAAGACAGACCAGAAGTATTGGGTCCGAGAAATCCATCTGATTTGAGAGAATACAATTCCAAAGGTGCCCTTGAATGATGAATGCAGTGCGACAAGGGGTTGGTCAAGACGGAGGCTTTCCTCAGTCGTAGTGAGGTTCTGTGAGTTCTGCAGAAGCAGATGTCCAATTCTCAGCTCCACTAGACTCAAGCCCTCCCTGGGAGCTCCGTTTGTCCAGCTCCGTCAGAGGAGTTCTGTGTGTGAACTGACCCGGAGTTCTGTGTTTCCTCCACCCTAGTAACTTCTTGCTACTAGTAATGGCCTCCAACCTACTAGCGATGGCCTCCACTTCCACGAACGCTCGGCTCTTCGAATGCGGCCGAGCCGGGGATCTCGTGTCAGGCGGACCGAAGCAGCGGCGCGTTGACCACGTGGCTTGGCCATTGCCTTGGGGAGTGGGTCCATTGAAAGCTTGAATGAACACATCATTCATTAATTTATTATATTCCATTATATATGTATAATTAGTAATTACTAGTGCTAGTTTTGTTCATTGTTGAGATTTGTTGTGTAGAAATCAGGACCCCCCTGCTGGAACTCTTGACACGAAATGGAAGTGTTATACCTAGACACTCCCCACAGCTTTCTTGGTGAAGCAGTTAGGTCGTCTTGGGAGGTCCGTGTATTTTTTCATGGTGCTCTTGGCACCCCACCGGTCACCTGAAATGGGCCTTTCTTTCATCCAAACGGACGACTCCAGGTCCCCAGCGAACGCTCCGACTCGAGCAGCGCTCCATCTCGTCTCGGCACCGACCCACACCACCGAGTGAGACAGGTCGCGCGCGGCGCCTCGGCGCGGAGAACGCGCGTTGTGGCGCCGCAGCGAGCGAGTGAGGCTCTCGAGTTTGCTGGTGGCCTTTACAGTGATGGGGATCCGGATTTGGGCTTCCTTGAGCATCAGGACCGGCCATCCTGGAAATCCGAGAAACGGTGCGTTCTCGGCGCGACAGGACCCAGAAAAGCTCCTGGAATAGGGATAGCAGGTCTTTCAGACAGACACAGGTGACGGCTTAATCTGGACCAAAACACCAACGTGCCGTTTGGGCAGGAAGCAGGTGATGCAGCAAAAACACATGCACCCTGGCTGCCCTGGCCTGTTCCGGTGAGACCTGGCCAGACGTCTTGGTCAATCGAATTTGGAGTATTTTTGAGTTATCCTTGCGGTCTGAGATGCGATTGGATCGTGTAGCATGGCTTGCACCCCCAGACGATCCATGTTTGGGAGACCTAAGTGCATACCATATTTTGGGACATTTGTTGATTTGTGACCAAACTACAAACTTGGAAGGTGGCAAGTTGGGAGGAGCTCAGTGGGTGACTGAAGGCTGAGAATGGGGCAGAGAGAGCGCTTGAGCCTGTACAATCCCAGGTGATCTCCACCCAGTACCAGTGAGGCTGAGTACGTAACCAGGAGGCCAACATCTCCAAAATCCCTGTAGTTGTCAATGGCAACCTATAGAGTTACTTAGTGAGAGGGGTCGCTACATGTGGCAGCCTGGTCCGAATATCAGAATAGGGCACAACTAGAGGTAAGCCACCAAAAGCAATAGGGTTTAGAAGTAACACCTTCAAACACCAGCGCACCCGCAGACTTTTCCAGTGCGCTCCGAGTGATGAAATCTTTCCTTTCCGGGTTAAGATCTCGGCTTGGCCAAGCCAGTGAATCTGAGGACCAAAACAACTCGCGACGTGTCACTGCTGGCGAAGCTCTCGCTCTTCTACTTGCGCCTCGTTGTGGTACATAAGGAGGCTGTTGGGAATGAAGAAAGGTGTCAGGTGATATTTTACATAAATACATAAATTCAGGTTCCAGTGTTGGCCGTTTGGTGATTTTGGGCAGATTCATAGTTGAGTGAAAAATCCGGAAAGGGTCCTGCTGTCGATCTATGTGGATTCTGACGCAGTGTGAAGCGATTTGATTGGTCTTGGAGAGGAAAACTGGTGATCTCGTGCTCCTTCTCGCCCCCCATGAATCAAAGGGGTTTCCATGTGTGCCCCATGTACAAGTTCCACCGAACAAAGCCGGCGCGCAGCCACCAAACAAACCAGACGTAGACCAGCCACAATAGACCAGTATCCATGTTCCTCCAACCAAAGTGAGACCTGGATTGATCCACGTTTTACTTTCTTTCTTTCTTTCTTTCTTTTTTTTCTTTAAAGATCTTTGCGATCGTATGAAGGCTTTAACGTTCGCATGATCGCTCTGCTGGACAGGCACACATGTTTGCTTGCCCAACCCAGCAGGTGCATGGACCGGACCGAGTGGTGCATAAGAATGGGCCATCACGGAAGTACCAGGAGTCATGAGGAAGTGTCTCTAAGAGGGGTAACTGATACCCATATATGGGTGGTTTATGGGGTATCCCCTCACTTGTCGTGAGCAAAGCCCCTGCTTTCAAAACATGGAGGCTGGCCTTTCTTCGGTCAAGTGATCCTTCCGCCAACCCCTGAATTCGCAAAATTTAACTTTTTTGCCGAGCGCCGAGGACGTGCTACTGCGTCATTGCCATCCTGGTGAATTGGGAGCCCAGCTATTGGTGCCCGTGCCGGTGTGTATGTGCCCACGCACGGGCGGGTGCGGTGTGTCGTGCAGTGTGTCAGTGGGATTCGGAGGCAAGAGAACCACGCAGGAAGAGAAACACTGGGCAATCCTCTCCGTGGTTCTTGATCCTTCAATGTAAATAAAGATAATAAAGGTGGAATTGGCTTCAAACGAAAGCTCTTCTGGTCGTCAACCCTACCTTAGATGGACACCCACGTATTGCCTTTGAACGTAATCCTTTATTTGTATGTGCCCCTTCAAAGTTTCATCAGTCACGGGAATCTCTGTGTAAACTAGTTGACTTGTTCTCCGCCCCAGTCATGTGCCCCACAATACGCCGGTGCAACAATTTCACTCTAAGATCAAGATCCTTGGTTTGAGGATGTGGTGAACCCCACGCTCAACCGATACTAACCGATACCATGTTTTGCAGATTTACATGCTCTGGTGCCCCTTGTCCCTTTTGATGGGTGACACTATATTCAGGACCATTACGGGTGTCCATGCAGATCTCTCATGTTTGTAGCTGCAGTTTTCATTTCTTAGCGTTCACATGGTAGAGTAGTTTCAGCTGATTGCAATGTTTCCTACGGCCCTACGGGCCTACGGGTGTTTACAGTAAGGCGAGCAAGGAAGTACAAGGAGGCATTGGAAGATTCTGCAAACATGTCAAATCACCAGATGATGCAGACATCCGATGAAATTAACGAGAATATTAGCAGACTACAACTGAGGAGACTGAGGAGTAAACACAAGCAACAACATTTGGCCAAGAAAAAGCAAAGCATTGTGAAAGCAGGTCACGGTCAGAGCACCAGCTCAGAATCCAGCTCCTCGAGTTCAATGTCAGATAGCACCAAAGGAGATGCTACTCTGCTGTTTGCTTCCGCAAGCCTTTCACAAGGTACTCGCAGTTTCAAGCCCCGAACTGGAAACACAACCGCGCACCAATCAAAACGCAACATGGCAAGCCTTCACAACCGATGCTTCACAAATGACACCATCATGACATCACATTTCAAATGCCTAATTCTTCACAACCGATAGGGGACGACCCAGTTTGGCATATGGCATATTGCATGAACAAATAATTTTGTCCGCACCTCATATGACCAGGACGTTCGTGGCTGGACCAACACTTCATCCGGTGGTGGCTGGACCACAGGTGGAGGGTTTCGCCAGGTTTTGCCTTTGTCCACAGAATAGTACTTGCACCCTTTACAAGAGGCAAGACAAGAGGAGTTCACAAAGGATCTAGACATTCCTTGTACCTACAGCCAACCAAAGTTACCTTGAAATTTTCTTGCGTTTCTTGGAGGCCAATGTGTGTCTCTGTGTATGTGTGATGCGTTGCACTCACACACACCATTTTTATAGCTCCCGGTCCGTCGATGACGGGTCCGTCAATGCCGCTCGATCCGTTTCTGGACGGGTGAGGTATATGGCTGGGAATCTGGTCTCCGACATTGCCACCCTGATGACGTCGCCGGGCGAAGCGGGGGAAACGCTGGAGAAGGAGCCAAGCACGCAGTGCTCTTGAGCTCGAGCGGGGTACGATTCGTTGCTTCTCCCAGTCAGAAGGAGTCAAGCAAGTCTTGGGAGTTTCAGGAAGTGATGTACCAAAGATATTACTGTGAGTGCCCCCAAGTTTCAAGTGTGCAGGAATTTTTGCTTTCATGTTGGGATGTAGTGCTTCATCCCAGGTTCAACTGCATCACGATCCCGCTCTACATCATCTTCAGCTGCAGAGTACTCATCAGGACCCAGAGCCGATCTGCTTGGACTGTGGGAGGATTGGAAGCTTCTTTGGACGTGATAAGAATCGTCCAGAGAGGATTCCACACTTGTTTCCAAGACACCCTGCAAGAAACTTAAGGCATTCTAAGGCGTCGGTCGCACGGCTTCAGTTATGAAATCTATAAGAGTTTAGAGCAAAAGCAGCAACACTATATAGAAAACTATGCAACACACTCACGTAGTTCACTGGAAAGGTACGCAGAGGTTTGCAGAGGACGACCTCTAAACCTGCACAGGTGAGTCAATGCTCGGTTCTCCGCCAAGCATCTCGCAACTCCGTTCATGAAAACCTCAATCGATGCAAGAGCTGTCCCTGAGAACATCTGAGAACTGAGAACCAACATAATTTTCAACATGTTTGCAGAACTACATCTATTTTTGTTTATCCAACATGGTTTAACCAAACTTTATAGTCTCTTTCGGTTTCCACGATGATGACATGATGGTTTCTCCACTTCGAAACCGTGCAAACAACTTCGTTTCGAGCGAAAACACAGCGACCACGCAGATGGTAGGAGCTTCCTCCGTGATCGTCGATTGGATCTGGCGAACCCTCCACCCAAGATGACGCAGAACCAGTTCCTTGGATGGGTCTGAAACAGTTTTTGATATCATTTTGGATGGAGGATTTTTAGTTGCAATTCTTTAAAGGTGAGATATCCTGAGAATTTTGCCTAGGATTGGGGGATTTTTTTGTGAAGCAGGATTGGGCTCCTTTCCGCTCGTTTTGGTGGGTAGAGCCCTCCAAACTAACCCCTCTGCATGTCCGTACTCTCTTCCCCCCAATCTGCATAAACAGGAAGTCGCAGCCATCCAACCGCAGGACGGTGTTTTCAGAAGAATGGGTCAAGATTGAACACTCAAATCAAAATCAATGGCAGGTAAACAACAATCTTTCGAGCGAAATCAGATTTGGGTGCTGTGACAATTATCGCAGTAGGCCAGTCGCCTCGAAGCAGCAACGCTCGACTTAGCCGAGGTTCCAAACCTTCTTTGAGCTGCCTGAGATGGACCAGACAAGGCCAGGATTGCGAAGTGCTGGACACCTGATCATTGGGTCCACAATGGCCTACATACTGTTGTTGATAGATGACTCAAAACCTCAAGGAGAACAGGATTCCTTTAATCCCACCATGATTCAACAAATGGTAATTATCAGGCAGGAACTTTTTGTACAACAAACGTTTTCTATCCTTCTCTGCTGTGAGTGAGGCCCTTTGCCAAGGTCCTCTTGACCTTCCTTATGGGCACCTCAACGCAAAAGCAGCAAGAGCGCGGCGCAAAACGATGGGAGTCAACAGCCTCCCGCGAAACGATGGAGTCTGAAAGAAGACGAAGGTCGATCAACAGCAGGTAGACCATCTCAACACTGACTGCTTGCTTGTTGCTTTGAGTTGAGGGTGGAAGGTGTCCTACAGTTCGGTTTGAATGATGTTGAACTGCACCCCGTGAATGCCTACGGCACGGGTGGTTGACCAGTACGTGGCACTCACTGGTGTAAGTCTCTGTCGTTGGCCTTTTGAAGCTCCCAATGTACATCTCAGGCTTCGTCTTTATGCCCATGTGGCCCTACGCCATCCTGCCACTGGGCTTTTCTGTGGGGGCGACGCACATGTGCGTTTTGTTTTAGATAGGACAGATCAGACTGGTGGGGGGTTCAATCCAGATCGCTCAAGGAGGGTGCATTCTTGTTCTGAAGTGCTTGTGTAGTAGCTAACGAGTACAGCAGAAATCTGTTGCTCCCCCTTTAAAAGGCCATTCGATTGCCATGTTTTCTCTACAGTCACTCCACTGACCGTGGAGAAGCCAACCAATACATCCGCCTGGTTCTCCCAAGCACACCTTTCTCTCCGCAAAGAGGACAAGAGAAGTTATGAGCAGGTGCCTCGAAAGACCAGAATATTGATCAATCCTTGTTTGTTGAGGAGTGCTCCAAGTCAACCTTCTTTAGAACCAAACTCTGAATGTGGGGTTTTGGGGATATGAGCATCTGAAAAACATTTTTGTAAAGGGCTGCCTTGTGCTCATGAGGTGTGAGCAAAACCTTCACAACTGATAGGGGACGACCCAGCACCGATACCCCTTTGCAAAACTAAGAAGTATTTAGTGAGTGTTGGTCAGTGCTCAAGAATGGCTTGTTGCAAACTGTGCCTTGTTGCTCGTGGGAATCAATCCAAGGTGCCCTTCGAAAAGAGTGGGAGCTGAACCATAGCTATTAAGAGTGGTTCTGAACCATAGCTATAGGGGGGCTATATAGTAAGGTCTATCACGCCATTCACCATTGTCCAGTGAGGTTGCCCACGAGGTTTCACAAATACAATGCGTTCCGTACGACGAGACCCCCAAGACTTCAATTGATCGTGAAAAACCCAGCATTCTTTTGATGTGTTGATTTCGAAGCACCTCCAGCCATTTTGTAGGTTCTCGTAGGAGGCTCCAATAAACACGCTCGCTGGGGAACGACATCTCTCAAATATTCCATGCAGACCTATAAACGACGTCCGCATGTATGATGCGCGCGTCTCTTCGTAGCCTTCGTAGCTGGTCTGCGTGATGGTGGACAACCCTGCGACTCCGTCTCCTACTTCGTGTGGTGCCAAGACTTGCTGCCATGGGGTACGAGCAGCAGTTTTTAACCAGCACAATGGCACACAAATGGCCACTCGCGTGACGCCCAAAGTCACACCACTAGTCGTGCTCAAAGGTGGTGAAGTGGCGGCAGTTACACAGCTACCATCAGAAGAGCCACCTTGACCACACATGGCGTGGACTGCTCCAGCTGGCAAACTTCCAAAAAGAGTATTACAGTACAGTCTCTCTGGACTACTGTAGAACAAAGCCCATGGATCATGCTGCTGAGTGCCGCTCTTTCAAGGAAGGGCTTATGCTTGTAAATGCCCCTTTGTCCCTTAGGATTTTTCCAGAAGAGGAGAGGAGAGCAAGCAAGAGGAGGGGAGAGGGGAGGAGCAAAG